CTGGGTCCCACCCTCAAAACTAAATAAATTGGGCATGGTGGTACTTGTAATCCCAGCACCCAGGGGCGGCAGAGGCAGGCAGATCAGGACTTCAAAGTTATCCTCAACAGCACAGAATTCAAAACCAATCTAGGTTACATTAGATCCTGTCTCAAAAATAATAGGGTTGTAGAGATGGCTCAGTGGTTAAGAGCACTTGTTGCTCTTGCAGAGGACCCAGGTTCCATTCCTAGCGCCAACATGGTGGCTCCCAAGCATCTGTAACTCCAGTTCCAGGGGATGCAATGCCCTCTTCTCATTTCTGCAGGCATCAACCTGGTGCAGATATACATGCAGGCCACACATACACATATAATAAATAGAATAATTATTATTATTCTGTACATTAAAATTAGCCAGGTATGGTGGCACATAACTTTAATTCCAGCACTTGGGAGGCACAAGTAAGTGAGTCTCTAAGTTTGAGGCTAGTTTCAGCTAGACAGCGAGTTCCAGCCAGCTGGGGCTACATCAACCCTATGTCAGACAAGCAAAGTAATTCACCACCATCCCACAGATGGAGAAAAGACCACCACTACCTGACTGTATCGTTCCTTTGTACACCCAGTGCACCAGTGTCGGGGGGAGCCTATTTGGCAATCCTCTTTACCCCTTTAAATAGACTCATCTGGGGGAGGCAGGGCCTGTTGCCCCAGGTTGGTGGTAACACGTGTACCAAACAAGGAGCCATTTTGAAGGAACAGTTGATGACAAGACAACTGGCCAGACTGAGCCCAGGGGATGACCTGGAGGTAAAAGTGGAAAAAGCCAAAACGGAAAAAAACCTAATTCCTGACACACTGCCAAACATGTTTCATTCTTTAGAAATCCGAAGGAAAATAAATGTGTTTATCAACAAACTACTCTCCTTTCCCTCTTCAAAGCCTCTGAATTGCTAAACTGGTCAACTTGAAGCATGAGGCACAAGGACTTTTATTTCATATCGGTAAAAACCTGCAAAGGAGAAAAGAACCCGGCAGCTTGAGTATGTGTCCGCCTTACCCCGCAGTGGCTGCTGCTTTCCTGAAGGAGTTAAGTTTTCCCCTCATTGTTTCACATTTTTGAGAAATTGCATCTCTGAAATTTCATGCCTGGCTGGATGTACAAATAACAGAGAAATAAGGACAACAGGAAAAGGAAAGATGGACGGATAAGGAACACTGTTTCAGTTTAAGACTAAAATCTTCGTGGAATTTTCTAGCTAAAGACTCATTTCCGGGGACTGGGGAGACAGATGGGTCAGTCAATAAGGTGTTTGCTATGCAAGCATGGAGCCTGGGTTCCCTCCAGGGCACCCACGTAAAAAGCAAAAAGTTGGGTATCCTATCTTGAGCTGGTAATCCAGAGTTGACTGGGCTGTGGAGACAGGCAGAGCCTGACAGCCTTGCTTAACTGGCAACCTCGGGTACCAGTCAGTAAGTGGCCTTTCCCAAAGACAAGGAAGACAGCACTTGAGTTTTAATGGGCAAGGTTGACCTCTAGCCTCCATGTGTGTCCACATTAGTGCACGTCCACAACCCCCTCCCAGTCCTGACATACATGCATACATACACACATGCATGCACACACACACACACACACACACACACCTCCATTTTAACATTTTTTGTTTAGTTTATGTTGCATTTTGTTTTTTGTGGAGGTTTTTTGGTTGGTTGGTTGGTTGGTTGGTTTTGGTTTTGGTTTCCTTAGACAGGGTCTCTCCATAGCCCTGGCTGTGCCTGTCCTGGAACTTTCTATTGGACCTGACTGGCCTCAAATTCACAGAGACTGACTGTCTCTTCCTCCCCAGTACTGGGATTAAAGGCCTGTGCCACATCATGTCTGGCCCACATTGTTTTTGAGACAATGTCTCACATATTTCAAGATGGTGTCAGACTCTCTGTAGGTGAAGATGACCCTGAACTTGTTGATAATCCTCCTGCCTCTGTTTCCACCTCTACCTGGGTTACAGCTGGCAACCTATACCTAAGTGGAAATGGAGGAATCACTGACTTGAAATACCACTGGGTATTATAGGTGTAGGCCAGAACTGTCTTCATCTTTGTTTGACTCTTTCCCTAACAAGCCATGTAGACATGAAAGCCCTGCATGAGACTGAATATGTATATGGGGAGACACTGTGTGTTCAAAACATTATCAGTTTATTACACATCTCCTATTCTCCACCCTGTGCCCTGGAAGGACAAACACAGGCTGCTGTCGGGCACTCACGCCTAGCCAGGGAGATGGAACCAGACAGCAGCTAGACAGCATGAGCGGCAGTATTCCCACCCCGGAACCAGGAGAGCCTGCCAAGGAAGGCTCTAGGACAGATGAACGAAAAGTCTCTGAGACTTGAAGACTTGCTCCTGAGGCTGCAAGGCAGGTTGGAGCCAGTAGTGGTGTAGGGGCTGTGACAGTCCCTGCAGGTGGAGTGACGTCCCTAGGAGCAGGAGGTAGGATGAGGCCAGGGGCAGGCTGCAGCCAGCTTGGGTAGCAGCCCCACTTCCCAGGTCACAGAGTGTGATTCTCTTTGTTGAGTGGGAGGGAAATCACCAGAAGGAAAAGTGGCTTACAGAATGACAGAGGTGGAGACACAGTGGACAAGGCTGGAGATGCAAATGAGCCAATTCAAGCTGCTTTGAAAAGGTAAGGCTTGTTCCTGGATTTGGAGTCAGGTGACTTTCTGGTTTGAAGGAGCTGTGTGCCTGACTCAGAAACCAATTCTGGAGTGAGTCCTCTCCCTTCACCTCTGTGTGGGCTCCAGGTGACCAGAGGTCACCAGGCTTGCGTGATCAGCACTTTTACACATTGAGCCCCTCCTTTATGAAAGCTCTTTATTTTTTGGAGAGAAACATGTACCACAGAGCATGTGGAGGGTCGAGGTTAGGGGACAGCTTGTGAGATTGGTTCCTTCCCTCCACACGTGGGCTCCTGAGATTGAACTCAAGTCGTTAGGTTTGGCGGCAAGAGCTACTACCTGCTCAGTCATGTTGTCAGTCCCCCATTATAAAAGTTTTTACTGTTTTGAGTGGTTTTTAGATCGATTTATTTTTATTTTATGTGTATGGAGGTGTTGCCTGCATATTACATACGTGCACCATGACTGCCTGCAGAGGTCAGAAGCAGGCATCAGCTGCAAGCCAGTGTGTGGGTGCTGAGAACCAAACCCAGGCATTCTACAAGAGCAGTAAGTGTTCTTTTTTTCTTTTCTTTTCTTTTTTTTTTTTTTTTGTTTCTTTGTTTGTTTTTTGAGACAGGGTTTCTCTGTAGTTCTCTGAAGCTTTGGAGCCCATCCTGGAACTAGCTCTTGTAGACCAGGCTGGCCTTGAACTCACGGAGATCTCCTGCCTCAGTCAGCCAAGTGCTGGGATTAAAGGCACCCGGCACTACCACCAGCCCAGCTGAGCAGTAAGTGCTCTGAACTAGTGAGCAGATTCTCTACCCTTTTGTTTTTTTAGTTTTGGTGGGGTTTTTGTTTGTTGTTGTTTTTTGTTTGTGCTGTTGTTTTGTTTTGTGGTGAGATTAGATTTCACAGTGTGTAACTCTGGCTTGCCTGGAACTTGCTCTGTAGCCCTGGCTGGCCTCTGCCTCCAGAGTACTGGGACTAAAAGTGTGTGCTGCCACATCTGTCTTGTTTTCTTGTTTTATTTTTTTTTTAAATGAGATACTCAACAGTTGCGTCTCACCCCAGAGTTTAAAACTGACAAAGAGCAGGCAGAGCTTAAGGTAACTTGGAAAGTCACTGCCTGGAATACAGTGATGTCAGAGACTCTAGAGGGGGAATGAGAGGGGATGTGTGTCTATTTTGGGGTCCCTCAACCTGCCTGCTCATATTATCACCAAAGCAAAGGCAGGAGGACTTCAGCATCTGTTTGCCCTCAGTCTCTGGTCTTCACAGCACAGGACAGGTGCTGCCTAGGAGGCTGAAGGGTGGAGGGTTCAGTGCCTCAGTTCATCTAAGTTAGAGAGACGTGTGCAGAGGAGGTCACAGGCATGTGCGGGGAAATGAGCTTTTTCCTCCGTAAGGAGAGAGGTGGGGAAGTCATTACCCCTGTCGCGAGAGGTTTCCTGGAATAGCCTGGTTTGGAACAACCAGGTATTGGGACGAGAATGCCTGAGGGGGAAAGAAGGATCCGGGACTTGTGTCTGCCATCCTACCTGGCTCTTCAGCTTTCCTGAATCTCCATCCTGCAACTCCACAAGCTTGTATAGGGCTGGAACGCTAGAAGATAGTGAAAGGAGGTCCTATGGATAGGTGGAGCAACATGGCCTGTAGCTTCTCCTCCCAGGGATTTAAGTTTAACCCCCAACCAAAGCAGACTGTGGCTATCCTTGAGTTAACAGGGTTCTTGGGGGCGGGGATCCTGGAATAGTGTGCAAGTGAGGAAGGGAGACTTCGGGGGCCCTCCATGCCTTCGCTCCTAATGCCTGCCTGGTTCATCATACCTTATATACCAATTCCCGAAACACTCTAAATGCCTGCCTTCTGTGCCCCCTCTCACGGTAGAGCGACGGTGGAAATTACTCTGTGCGGAGCCTATCTACCGCGGAGTGGTAGAGGGGTGGCAGGTGTGCCTCAGACTCAGAGCGAGGCTCGAGGTCTGTAGAATCTCTTTCTTGAAAGCCTCGAAGGCTCGGGCCGGGGTGAAGTGGGGTCGGGGAAAGAGGTGCTCATCGTGCTGGCAACCCGCAAGTGCTTCACCGCAGCCTGCTCTCCAGAGACCCCGCCACCGTGTCCTAACCTGAGGGAGAGATGAGGAACCCAGGGCGGGCGCCAGCAGCAGAACGAGCGGGGGCGGCTTAGGGCGCTAGCCCACGGGCAAGTGCACAAAGCAGCGTGGGCTGGGGCCGGGGACCGCCCTAGCGGTCGGGGGCGTGGCAAGGGCAAAGGGGCGCGGCAAGGGCGGTTGTGGGCGGCTCTGCAGCCCGCTAAGGTAGGGGCGGAGTTCCGTCCGCTTTTAAGGCGGACGCGCCCGTGCCTTCGGGGCGCGGATGAGTAGCCCCGTGCTTTGGGACTGTTCCGAAACTTCGTAGTCCCTCCCGGGCCCGCTCTCCACGACGCTTGGGCCTGCGCACGCGAGGTGCCACGGATCCGGAGCAGACGTCGCGGGTGAGCGCGCGACCTCGGCTGGAAGCGGCCGCACGGCTCGTGAGTTTATCATCAGCTACCGCTGCGAGCCCACCCGGAACGGCGGAGTCCTGGGTGAGAATCCCGGGGCACAGCCACAAGGCATGTGTGCCAGCGCGGACCCGGGTGGGCGAGAGGCTGTGCGGTCTTCGTGCCTCCGGCGGGGTTCCACCGAAGGCGGCCCGAGTCCCAGTGCGCGCTCGTGGCAAGGGGCGGTCGGGGACGCCGTGGGCATCCCGTTGCTATTTGTTCTGCGTTCGCCGCCTGGACACACCTTCAATATTTGAATGAAAGATGTAAACGTAACCGGCGGGGCGGAGGGTGGGGAACTAGGAAGTAGGCTGGGTGGCGCTGCGGTGTCCTCAGCACCGGCGAGCGTGCCACCGCCTAGAGTCTAGACCCACCAGAGCCGGGTGCGTCTGGTCGCTCACCTGCTCTTGGTGTGCTTTGTTCTTTGCTACCGCCCCTAGTGCCTCCGAATCCTGCCCGTCCCCTCATTCTCAGGGCCTGCGAGTGTGGATTATATTCCTTTCTCGTGCATGCGGCCCCTCCTTTGAGTCCTTCCTCGCACAAACATCCGGATAGTACCACAAACCTCAGTGCGTTCTGCATACCCACTCCGCCCCCTACTTTCTGGGCCAATGGCTCTTCTCTGGAGGCCCAGGACCACGGTGACGCCGTGGGATGGAGGCGGTTGCTGGGACGGTCCACCAGGTGACCCCTGGAGATTGGGGAGGTCGGGAAAACAGCTCCTGAGATGGGCACGTGTGGGCCCTGGGACCAGGGCAGATCTGAGAGGCTCAAAGACACTCCCCCGACCCCAAAGTGCTGGGCGTGGCAGGGCGGGATCCAGGAAGGAGGCGAGTTCCAGTTGCCTTCCTCCAGAGCTGGACAGGGCTTAGTCAGAGATGCTTGGGTTAGTGAGCTGAGTACTGATGATTTAGGGATGAACTGACCCGCTTAAGCACCCTTCACGCTCTTTGCATACCTCGGCAGCCTCTAGTAGAGGAGCTAAGGGATTTAGTACCCTAGATGAAGACTGGCCTCCCTAGGTACTGCAGGAGACCCCTGCCCCTTGGCCTGGTCTTCCTAGGAAGGGTAAGGAGTGGGCAGGGCTGAGTCAGGTGGGCTGAGTGGAAGAGGGCACAAGAGACTGTCTGGGGGTGGTGACAATTCTTTGGCTTCTCTTGTAGAAGACTGTCCTTTGGCCATGTCACAGAATGGACACCTTGACGACCCCAGTGAGTACTTCTCAGGTGCGTATCTGGAAAGCACCCATGATTAGAAATCTCTAGAGAACTCCACCCATGCACCAGCCAGGAAATGCCAAGCAGAAGTGGCTTGTGTAGCCTGGTACTGAAGCGGTCAGCGCCCTTCTGGAGGCTGTGTGGCTTGCTGGGCACGCCCCTGATGAAGCTGACCAGTGGCCAGCATCCAAGGGTGCTGAAGTTCGGGGAGGGCGGATGGCCACCAGCACGGCTTGCTGCTTTCTCCTGTGATTCACCGTTCCGGGACCCTGCGTATCTGGCCAGCTTTAGGCTATGCTACACGCTATGCATGCCTTGACTGCTCAGTCCCCACTTAGCCCTGAAGAGAGAGGCTGCTATCGTCCCGCTTCCACTGGTCTAGCTTCTTCCCTGCCTTTGGCTCCATGCTGCCATGTCTACTCTATGGTTTTTGTTTTAATTTGGTTTTGTTTAAGAAAGAAATCTTATGTAGCCTAGGCTGGCCTAAAACTCCTTATGTAGCCAAATATGATCTTGAATTTCCAATTATGTTCAGGTATTAAGATTACGCTTTTGCCCCCAAGCCAGGTTTATCGGGCACTGGGGTTTGAAAACTCTGGGTTTCATGAGGTAGGCACATACTCTACACACTGACTGGATCCCAGCTCTCCCATGTTCTTTAGTGGCACAGTGTTTAGGCATCCTGATGCTGTGTTTTCATCCAGGTGCCCAGAGCATGAGGGGCCTTTGTGTCATGTCGCTAGCTGGCAAGTTATATTTTAACCCTAGCTTTGGAGCCTTTCCTGGAACTAGCTCTTGTAGACCAGGCTGGCCTCACAATCCACCCGCCTCTGCCTCCCGAGTGCTGGGATTAAAGGCGTGCGTCACCACTGTTTGGCTTTGCTGGCAGGTTATCTTTGAGGCTTTGCTATGTGGAATGGCATGGCAGGAGGCCTGCGGAGACCTAAGGGGTCTGAGAGCCAAGACTAAGAAAAAAACAGCTCCAGGTAGAGAAGGAAGTACTGGGCTGAGAATGACAGCAGACGCAAGACTGGGACTGGAGGGTGGATAATTATTTAGACAGGGTCTCGTGTAGCCCAGGCTGGCCTATAGCTCATGTGACTGAGGAACGCTGAACTTCTGATCCTCTTGCCTCTTAAACAGGGCTGTGCCACCTGGCTTCCGTCCCCAGCCCAGGCTTGCCTTAAGGAGGGTGTTTGCCACGTCCTCTACAATATATGCTCAATAGTTCCGGGCCTGGGATAGGGTAGGGTGATCATCAGGATATCCATGTGCAGAGGACGCTGAAGGGCAGGAGTGGAAGTGAGTCAGGGCGCGTCACTGGCTGCCAGGTGTGGGCATGCCATTGACTTGTCCCTGTGCAAGGGTTTGTCAGTCACTAGTGGGGTTTGAATTACAAAGGCCTTTTTCCTAAAAGTGTCCATAGACGGTCTGAAAGAGGTTCTGGCTGGGCTGGAAAAGAGGCAGAACTCTGTCTAGGAAGAGTGTACCAGATGAGCCTAAAGATGCCCCTGGAGGGAGAGTCACTTTGCTGGCACATAGGGCAAGAGTGGGCATGCCTATGACCCTAGCTGTCAGCCCAAGGTCTGACTGTGAGTGGCCTGAAGCACCAAGGCCTAGGGGAAGGTCACAGGCTGGCTCAGGCTGTGATTTACATGTTATGGAAACCTTCATGTAAAGGGTCTGGGAAGGTGGTGGAAGCCACAGGACTGACCACAGCGCCTGTGCTCAGGAGTTCCTGCTGCATCTTGGAAGGGGTGTGGTGGGAGCCGGACTAAGGAGGCCTTCCATCTTCTGACTGTTTCACAGGCTTTCTTGCCTCCTGGGTGTTATTCAACTGCTGAACTTAGTCTCAGCCTTGACGCTATTCCCTCAGTCTCACCTGCCCTCCCTGGGAGGAGAGGCTGTAAACCCTGCACCAATGAGGGAGGGAAGGTGGGGGTCGCTTGGATCTATAGCAACTTCACCTTCCTTGGGGTTCCCAGCCCGAGAACTCTGGAAGAAAGCAGTCTTTGTATCTTTTTTCATACTCATACACACACACACGTTCAATATGTGGCTTTTTGAGACAGGGTTTCTCTGTGTAGCCCTGGTTGTCCTGGAACTCGCTCTGTAGACCAGGCTGGCCTCAAACTCAGAACTCTGCCTCCTGGGTGCTACAATTAACAGCATGCACCACGCCCGCCCAGTGTCCACCAATGAGACTTTATTTGAGCATATGTTTGTGTTATGTGTTACTGCATATGTGTACGAGGCTAGCAGAGGGTGTCAGATCCCTTGGAGCTGCAGTAGAGACAACTGTGAGCTACCCAGCATTGGCGCTGGGGCCTGAACTCCTGTACTGTCCTTGAATTCACACAGATCTGTCTGCCTGTTTCCCAAATGTTAGGATTAAACTTAAACTGAAGGATCAGAATAGTACAGAGAGCCCTGGTTCCTTTTTTTGTTGTTATTTTGTTTTGTCTTGTTTTTTGCTTTTGGTGACAGGATTTCCTCTGTGAAATACTCCTGGCTGCCCTGGGACACACTGTTTTTTTGTTTGTTTGTTTGTTTTTTTATTTATTTATTATGTGTACAACATTCTGCTTCCCACACACCAGAAGAGGGCGCCAGATCTCATTACAGATGGTTGTAAGCCATCATGTGGTTGCCGGTTGCTGGGAATTGAACTCAGGACCTCTAGAAGAGCAGTCAGTACTCTTAACCTCTAAGCCATCTCTCCAGCCCCCTGGGACACTCTGTGAAGACTAAGCTGACCTTGAACTCACAGAGGTCCTTGCCTCTGCCTCCCAAGTACTGGGATTAAAGGCTTGCGTCACCACCACCCTGTGAGCCCTGGTTCTTAAAACTGAAAAATGCCCTGGGAGGCAGAGGCAGGTGGATTTCTGTGAGTTCAAGGCTACTGGTCTAAAAGAGCTAGTTCCAGGACAGGCTTCAAAACTACAGAGAAACCCTGTCTCAAATAATAAAACTGTAAAATTGTACAGACGACCCCTGGGTATGAGCTTCAGCTCTGTGTGCCAGCTGCTACAGTCTGAGTGGGACCAGGTAGGACCAGCATTTGCTTCCCTTAACCAAAGATCCTTCCTTGACTGGTAGGAGGCCTCTTACTATCAGGGGTGCACTCAGGTGATGGAGCAGAGGTACCCATGCCTGGGTCTCAGCCCTCCTTATGGTGTATAACACTAATAGATGGTCTCTCCTGGTGACAGCTGCAACTCAGGGATACTTGAAGAATGAGGTGGATGATACCCTTGAAGTCCGGGAAGACAGCCTGGGGGATGAGGCCTTCGACACCGTCAACTCCTCCATTGTGTCTGGCGAGAGCATCCGGTTTTTTGTCAACGTCAACCTTGATGTACAGCCCTCCAAATCTGGTATGGGGACTGTAGGTGGCCCTGCTCTGCTAAGAAGCCCTGAAGAGGTGGGGCAACATACTGAGCTCTCCTCCCTGTTCCTCCAGACATTGAAGCAGCAACCGGTGGCTGTGTGCTCCTCCACACCTCCCGCAAGGTAAGGCCCATCCTGCGGGGCTGTGCTGGGTCTCCAGTCAGGGTTTAAGAAAGCTGATTCCCTTATATCTGCTGTGCCGTTCCCATGTTCTCAGGCATTCATAGCTCAAACTAACCCAAACCTGAGCCTTCTCTCCTGGATATCGTTCCTAGTGGGCAGGGGCATTCATAGAGGGCAGGTGGGGGCCAGAGAGACAAGGGTCTAACTCAGGCTTTTGTGCATCTGCACCTGGGATCCCTACAGTATCTGAAGTTAAAGAACTTCGAGGAAGAGGTCCGTGCGCACCGGGACCTAGACGGCTTCCTGGCCCAGGCCAGCATCATCCTGAACGAGACAGCTACCTCGCTGGATGACGTGCTTCGGACTATGCTGAGCCGCTTCGCCCAGGACCCCAACCATGCAGAACCCGACTGTGACCTGGACCTGCTCATGGACAAGCTCTTTACAGATGCTGGGGCCCCCACGGAGAGCAAAGGTAAGGCCAGCTCCCTGCCGGGTCACGTGACAGCCCTGCCGGCTTGGCTGACTCTCCTGTATCCTTTCCTCCATCCTCAGTCCACCTGCTCTCGGATACCATCCAGGGAGTCACCGCCACAGTCCGAGGGGTGCAGTACCAGCAGTCATGGCTCTGCATCGTGTGAGTTGCCGTTACCACCACCACACCTGCTCCCCTACTGTTACCCTGGAGCTAGCCAGGGATCTCACGTCCCTGCAGAGACGAACCTCCACACAATGGCACAACTGTGGCACCTCCACTTTGAGAAAAGAGGATATGAACACTCTGTCCTTTTCAATCTTTACTTATTTATTTATTTTTTAATTTTAATGATTTATTTAACTTTATTTTATGTGCATTGGTGTGAAGATGTCAGATCTTGTGGAACTGCATTTTCAGACAGTTGTGAGCTGCCATGTGGGTACTGGGAATTGAACCCGGGTCCTCTGGAAGAGCAGTCAGTGCTCTTAACCGCTGAGCCATATCTCCAGCCCCTCAATCTTTTTTAAGGCAAAGCAGCCAGCCACTACCTCTTACCTCTACCACAGTCTGAATATGGCGTTCCTGCCTTCAGGAATCCTCAGAATGATACTGGCTGAGAACTGTCTCCTCCTGTCTTTTTTTTTTCTTTAGATTTATTTATTATATATACAATATTCTGCTTACATGTATCCCTGTGCAGAAGAGGGCACCAGATCTCATTACAGATGGTTATGAGCTACCATGTGGTTGCTGGGAATTGAACTCAGAACCTCTGGAAGAGTGGCCAGTGCTCTTATCCTGAGCCATCTCTCCAGCTCAATCTTTTTTTTTTTATGTGTTTGGGTATTGTGTGTACATGTATGTACGTGTACCACACACATACCACAGATACCAGAGTTCCTGATGCGTTGTTAGCTGCTTTTTGTTTTCCCTGGTAACCTCTGTTAGAGGCTCTGCAGGGTGGCAACTGTCTGTCTGTCCTCCTGTCTTACGCAGCTGTACCTTGAAGGCCCTACAGAAGCGGCACGTGTGCATCAGCCGCCTGGTCCGACCCCAGAACTGGGGGGAGAACTCCTGCGAGGTCCGCTTTGTCATCCTGGTGCTGGCCCCGCCCAAGATGGTGAGTTTCAGTCTCAGGTGCCTTGTGAGGCAGGTCTCCTGGTTGCTCTGCCGTTTCCTTGGAAACCTCTCTACAGGCTTCCTAGTGCCTGCTCTTCCTCTCTAGCCAATGTTTATTAGAGATGTTCTTGCAAAGTCCCCATTGCATCTGAATTTCCCTGGAAATGCCCAAAAGATTGCCTTTCCTACTGAAAAGCGGGCTTTTAACGATTACAGATTCAGGCTGCTGGCAGTGTAGACTGGTAAGACCCACCATGCATTCAGCATGTACAAGGCCCCAGATTCAAGTCCCAATAGAATGACTATACACATTAGACCATTCTTTGGCTGGCTTCCTGCCCTTCTTGGGCCATATGCTACCTGGGCAAGGAGATCCTGCTGGTTTTGTTTTATGTTTGTTTTTGTTTGCTTTTCTTTTTTTTTTTTCTTTTTGGTTTTTTGAGACTGTGTAGCCTTGGCTGTCTTGGAACTCACTCTGCAGACCAAGCTGGCCTCAGACTCACAGAGATCCACCCACCTCTGCCTCCCAAGCCATCCACTACCCAGTCGGTTACCCTGCTTTTGTGGAGGCTGTCGCTGGTCCAGTCTGGGAGTTCTCCCTATAAAGAGAAAGGTTTAAAATCCTGAATAGGCAACTGTAATTCTCTGCCCAAAACTATGGAAGGGCTTTAAATATTTAATGCGATAGATAAGATTTCATTAGCCACTGTGCTCTGTTTTTCCCCCGGTGCTGGGGATGGACCTCAGAGCCCTTGTGTATGCATAGCGAGCCAGCTCTGTTTTTCCCCAGTGCCGGGCATGGACCTCAGAGCCCTGTGTATACATGGCGAGCCAGGTGCTCTGTCACTGGTCCACACCTGCCCTCTTCAGAAACAGACTGGAGCCTGGCCTCGAACTCCCAGTCCTCCTGGCATTATGGCCTTCTCCACAGCATCCCTTTTCATTAGCTTTTAGATAACTCTGCCTGACTCTGGAGCCTGCTCGGGATTCTCTGCGTACAGGAACAGGAGGCTTCCCTTCCAGTAGTCTTAAAGCTATACTGCCCATCATATTCCTGTGCTAGAAGAGAAGTGAGCACCTCACGCGTTAGAGGGGTGGCAGCTGGCAGTGTGGCCAGAACAGTTGGAAGGAGCAATAGCCTTAGTACCCAGTCACTTGAGGCAAGTCAGGATGCACCAGCACGGAGCTCTTGCTCAGGAACACACAGTAGACACAGCCCGGACTGCTGCCCTGCAGCTGACAGAGGGGCCTCCTGAGACTTGTGCTAGAGAGTGAACAAGCCATGTGATGGAGAACTCAGAATCAGCTTGAAGGAGGGAAGGTTTACCTCAGTTCAGGGTCTCAGTCCGTAGCTGGCTGGCTCCACGGCTATGGAGCAGAGCAGAATATGATGGTGCAGTGGTTAAGAGCACTGGCTGCTCTTCCACAGGACCTGGGTTCGATTCCCAGCACCTACATGGCAGCTCACAACTTTCTGTAACTGCAGTTCCGGGGGATCTGACAGCCTCACACAGGCATATATACAAAACACCAGTGCACATAAAATAAGAATAAATAAATCATTTAAAATGTGGTAGCACACACCTTTGATCCCAGCACGTAGGAGGCAGAGGCAGGCAGCTATGTGAGATCCACAGTAGTTCCTAGTGGGAATAGTGGCAAGGTGCATTAATGTCTGAGCTTAGGGGAACAACCTACGGCCAGCTGCCTGTGCGGGACGGCACTCAGAAAAGACAGGGCGTCCTCCGCTAAAGGAGCTGGAGGTGTAACCGCAGCACCTTCTGTTCCCAGAAAAGCACCAAGACTGCGATGGAGGTGGCACGCACATTTGCCACCATGTTCTCAGACATCACCTTCCGCCAGAAGCTCCTGACGACACGCACGGAAGAGGAATTCAAGGAGGAGTTGGTGCATCAGAGACAGCTGCTCACCATGACGATGCCAAGAGCAACGGGACACAGCATGAGCTCCCTCCACACTCACAAACACCCTCAGGTTCAGAAGAGAGCTGGGGCGGTGGGAGGGGCGCGGGCCAACCAGAGCTAACATGGGAATCTGTCTTTTCTCCCAGCCTCCGAAGTGCAAGGACTTCTTCCCTTTTGGAAAGGGCATCTGGGCGGACATCACGCACCGGTTCCCTGTGTACCCGCTGGACTTCACCGATGGTATGTGCCCAGCCAGAGCTCAGCCTTTCAGGCCCCGAGTCCATGGGTGCCCGTCCAGCGTCTCCAGCAAATGCTGTCTGTCCCGCGTTCCTAGGCATCATCGGGAAAGGCAAGACTGTGGGCAAATATGTCACCACCACGCTCTTCCTCTACTTCGCCTGCCTCCTGCCGACGATTGCTTTCGGATCCCTCAATGATGAGAACACGAACGGGGCCATCGGTGAGGGGTTGGGATGGTAGGGATGCACCAGGCCGGACCCTGGGCTGTGGGTGAGCCCTGACCCTGTCACCTCCACAGATGTGCAGAAGACCATAGCTGGGCAGAGCATCGGAGGCCTCTTGTATGCACTCTTCTCTGGGCAGCCGCTGGTGATCCTGCTGACGACCGCACCCCTGGCCATCTACATCCAGGGTGCAGTGGGGTTGAAATGGGAGATGGGGCCCAAGTCCTGCGGCCCAGCCCAGCCCTAACGGCACATCCTGCCCCGTTGTTTGCAGTGATCCGAGTCATCTGTGACGACTACAACCTTGACTTCAATGCCTTCTATGCATGGACGGGCCTGTGGAACAGTTTCTTCCTCGCGCTGTACGCCTTCCTCAACCTCAGCCTGCTTATGAGTCTCTTTAAGAGGTGACTGCTCCTGGGCTGCAGTGTCTGGGGGTGTGGGTCAGATGCCTCATGCCAGGGCCCTATAACCCCAGGATAGATAGTGTGCTTCCCATAGGCCGAGGTGGACTTCCTGGGCGTGGTCCCGTGGGGGAGCACTCTTTCATGGCGATGGTCCATACAGAAGTTCAGGCAAGCCTTTCCTTCAGTAATCACTTCCCCTCCCCACCCCACCCATGTTGAGGCGTTATCACTGCTTTGCAGGTCAACAGAAGAAATCATTGCCTTCTTCATTTCCATCACGTTTGTTCTGGATGCTGTCAAGGGCATGGCCAAAAGTGAGTGCAAGTCAGGTGTGGTGGTACATGCCTTTAATTAACCCTATCACTCAGGAGGCAGAGGCAGGAGGATTTCTCAGTTTGAGGGCAGTTAAAGCTATATAATGAGACCAAGTGAATACTGACCCAGAGAGGGACCTGCTTGGAGGTGGGAAGGCTCTCAGCTATGCTCGATGGGGCAGAGAAGAAGGTGTCAAGCTAAGGTGGCACAGCAGCAGCCGCACCAGTACTGCTGAAGGGGAGGAGCTTCTCCAGGCAAAACCAGAGAGGGGACAGAGGCATGGGCCAGGCAGGGTGGGGTGAGGTCAGCTACAGCAGAGGCAGTAGTGGACTTGGGAGACAAAAGGTAGATGGGCACGGGATGGTTCCTGGTTGACCGAAAAGGCCAGAGCTCTCCCCCTTTATGGTCCCTTCCCTTCCCTTCAGCATCCCCTACCTCACTTAGGACACCCCTCCACCTTATATCAATAAGGAAGCTAGGCTCCAGCCTCCCAGATCCCAGACGGCTTAGGTCTGTTGACCTGTCCCACAGTCTTCTGGAAGTACTACCATGGTCACCACTACCACACAAAAAAGACTTCATCCTTGGCCAGCTTGTTGAGCGTTGGCAGAAGCCCCAACACCAGCCTTCACTCTGGGCTCAACACCAGCCTCCTGCCCAGCCCCGTTGAGATGGCCACAGCTAGCAGCCCCAGCAGCACACACTCGGGCCAGGCTACGGCCGTGCTCAGTCTCCTTATCATGCTGGGCACACTCTGGCTGGGCTACACCCTCTACCAGTTCAAGAAAAGGTAAGGGAGCACCCTTGATCCCAATACTCAGGAGGCGGAGGCAGGAGGATCTCAAGTTTGAAGCCAGACCCCCTCAGAAGAAATGAGGGGACCCGTGGGTGGGAGGTAAGGGCCGGCCAGCCCCTGAGCCACGCTGATACCCCCATTACCTCCAGCCCCTACCTGCACCCATGGGTCCGTGAGACCCTGTCTGACTGTGCCCTGCCCATCGCGGTGCTCTCCTTCTCCCTCATCGGCTCCTATGGCTTCCAGGAAATTGAGAGTGAGTGGGGACGGGATGAGCTGGGGGGCGGCATGGCCTTGCTCCCTGGGAACTGTGAGCCAAGCCTGTCCCATATTACAGTGAGCAAGTTCAGATACAACCCCAGCGAGAGCCTCTTTGAGATGGCACAGATCCGCTCTCTGTCCTTCAAGGCCATTGGCAGCACCATGGGTCTTGGTTTCCTGCTCTCCTTGCTTTTCTTCATTGAGCAGAACCTGGTGGCTGCCCTGGTCAATGCTCCAGAGAACAGGTACTGAGGGCTGTGGGATGGTAGGGCAGGGTCCCAGACTTCTGATGGCCAATAGGACTCTTGTCCATGTGTGCCCACCTACCTCAGGCTGGTGAAGGGCACTGCCTATCACTGGGACCTCCTGCTCCTGGCCATCATCAATACGGGGCTGTCTCTATTCGGGCTACCCTGGATCCACGCCGCCTACCCCCACTCCCCGCTGCATGTGCGGGCACTGGCCTTAGTGGAGGAACGTGTGGAGAACGGGCACATTTATGAAACGTGAGTACGAGTGATCCCTAGGATCCTAGGGCAAGAGCCACGTAGACCTGAAGGTCAGAGGGGGACAACCTTGGGCTGCAGGTGACCTAGGAAAGGATGTGGCTTAGAGATAAGGGCTCAGAGGCAACGAAGCCCTAGCTAGACCCACAGGTAGCCTTTGCTCTGGGCCCCCGCAGGATTGTGAATGTTAAGGAGACCCGGCTGACTGCGCTGGGCGCCAGTGTCCTGGTAGGGCTCTCTCTCCTGCTGCTGCCCTTCCCACTGCAGTGGATCCCCAAGCCCGTGCTTTATGGGCTCTTCCTCTACATCGCGCTCACCTCCCTGGATGGCAACCAGCTCTTCTCGCGAGTGGCCCTGCTGCTCAAGGAGCAGGTGGGTGCCTGGGTCAGGGAGGGGATGTGGGAACACAGCCGTCCCTGACCACCAGGTTGCCGCTGCCCACAGACATCCTACCCACCCACCCACTACGTCCGGAGAGTGCCCCAGAGGAAGATCCACTACTTCACAGGCCTGCAGATCCTGCAGCTGCTGCTGCTCTGTGCCTTTGGCATGAGCTCCCTGTCCTACATGAAGATGGTCTTTCCTGTCATCATGATTGCCATGATTCCCATCCGGTATGCCCAGGCTGGGTGGCTGTGGGGAGGGCTCCGCCCACTGCTGGGCTCAGTGTGGACCTGCTATAACCATCCATCACTGAGTTTGCGTCTCCTTCTATTCTGCAGGTACAATCTCTTACCCCGAATCATTGAAGCGAAGTATTTGGATGTCATGGATGCTGAGCACAGACCCTGATGTGTGCCACCTTCCCCCATGCCTTCAGGCCTGTTCTGTGACATTGTAAGGGGAGGTGTGAGCTGGCTCAGACCCAGCCCCATTGCCGCTTAAAGTCCCCGGGGCATTGTGGTTTTCAGTGGTGTGTGCTCACCGCTCACCCCATTAACCTTTAGTTTGGGGTCCAGGGACATTGCCAGCACGGGGCTAAGAAGTGTAGATTTTCTTTTGATAAAAGAGTTGATGCCCAGGAGCGAGCCCATTTCCTTGATTGTGTAAGGAATTCACTGTGCACCATTAGCGAATAAAAGTCTTGTTTCTGTACTTCAACAAGCGGCCTCCATCTTTGCCACTCTCCCAGACTTGGGGACAGAAACAAAGTCGCTGGGAGGAGAATGAAAGGGACCAATGTTTGTTGAGTACCATCTGTATGCTGTCAACGCCAACCGTGGCCGTTGGCCCAGTGGTGAGAAGTAGACAAACCAGACCTTTGTGTCATCCTGGTGAGAGGCTCCTGCAAGGGATGCGTTCTGGGATCAAAGACCCAGAGGTTTGGGTACGGCAAGGTGCTGTGTGGTGAAGAAAGTGGCTCCAGCATATGGCGGGGGTGAGAGAGAGCAGGAACGCCCTGTACTGCCAGTGATGTGATTCAGAGAGACTTGGGAGAAGGGCTGATTAGTCTGAAGAAGGAAGAAGAGGCCATGCCTCTGCTTGATCACAGAGACACAGATGGAGCCGTTCTCCACGAGTCCCTCTCCATATGCTCTACCCCTTGCCCAGGCCACATGCATTGAGGGTAAAGTTGCATATGAGTAATAGAGAGCTGGGTACTCGGATGAGGGGCTCTGCTCCCCACACCCCTCTGGGTGGGGGAGTCACCAAGCCCAGCTGGGATGATCTGCACGTGAAGTGAACTCTCAGAGCAGGGTTTGACCCAGAGGATAGTCACAGATTATCCTCCGCCCGTTCCTCCCACCCTTACTTTCCTTCTGCCTCCTTTTTCAAGGGTCCCTGAGACTGGGGCTGTGCTGGGGGTGTGAGAGAGATGTCTGACTATTCTCAGAAATTCTGAACCCTGGTACCCTCTGGACACTCCTCTGTCTTTGGAACACAGCTGTTGACAAGTCTGGACAAAAACAGGAACAGAAGACTAGCAAAATGGATACAGACTGCAGTGACCTACAGTAGAAAACTTGTGGGCCAGCACCTTCCGGTCCAGAGCACTTGCTCTCTCCTGGAGCCCCTGACTTCCCTGGTCACAGATTGTCTGTTCTCTGTGCCAGATATGAATTTCTCCCTGTGAAGCAGACCTCCAGTCCAATCAGAAACGTGGTTCTATCCACAGCCACGTGGGCACTCTGGATACCAGTGCATATTGCCTGGCACTTCATCACCAAGCATGCAGGACTTCAAGGTTTAATTTCCTCAGCATCCTTAGTAGAAACTTCTGGCGCTACAGGAGCTAGCTCTCAGGGAGGGGACACCTCTAGCCCAGGCCCGGCTATTTCTCCAATCGGGTAGGCTCGTCAGCAATAGGGTCCTGTCACTGGGTTCTGGAAGGCAATCAGCAACTGTGGCAGAGCCTTTTTTGTTTTAGGGGCCTCATGGGCCTCTCTGGGAGGTAACTCCTGGCACCGGGGTTCCCAAACAACCTCCTATGGCTTTTAGGGTCATCTGGTTTGATCTTTTGTTTGTTCCTTAGCATTTTCAGGCACCTTGGTGGGTATCACTGTGCCTCACCCAGCCATACACTTCCCTCCCACACATCCCACAGCAACACCTGACCTTTACACCCCCGTGGTGGCTTCTCCAGGGGCACTCGCATGACCCGTCAGTGACTTGTGTCACCTCTGTGTAAAGAGGATGGACAGAGCCATGATGTGAAGTCCTGAACTCACATCTCTACGTAAAGTGTGGAGGAAAACTCTTGGTGGTATGCTTGTCATTCTGTCCCCAGGAATACCCACCTTTGTGTTGTCACCTCCAAGAGTGGGCGCTGGCCCTGCTGTGAACAGTAGACAAACCGGGGCTGAAGACACAGCGCGGTGTTAGTGATCTGACTTGTGCAAGGCCTTGGGTTTGGCGCCCAGCTTCACAAAATACCAAGTCAATGTTGGGTAGCGCCCCGCAGCGAGTGAGAGACAGACACACTATGCAAACAGAACTTACATGGGGAGTTTCATTGGGAGAAGGGAAGGGAGAGGGGAAAGGAGAAGGGAGAGAGAAAGAGGCAGAGAAAAGAGAAAGAGGAAAAAGAGAAAAATGTAGTCTGGATTTCGCCTTTTAAAGGGACAGGATACTACTCCCTGCCCTGCATGCAGCCTTAATGCAGGGGTGAGCCTGCAAGGTCCCCAAGGGGGTGGGGCCAGGTGTGCCTGGATGCTAACACCTTTGTAGCATAAATAATAAAAACCCAGAGACAGATATTGGGGTTCAAGCTGATGATCAGAAAAACAAAGCAGCCAGCTGTTGGTTCTACCTCAGACTGAAATGGGCGATCCTGCCTCCATGAATCTCAGAATGAGACCTGTCTCCTCCCATTTTATATTCCTCTCTAGTGCTGGGATTAAAGGTGTGCGCCACCACCATCATCACCCCAAACTAGTATGGCTGCTGGGATTAAAGGTGTGCGCCACCACTCCCTGGCCTGTATGGCTGACTTTGCATTCTGATCTTCAGGCAAATGATATACCACCCACCATACACCTCTATACTAGGACACAGGCCCAGCATACCAGCAAGAGGAAGCATAACAAGAATGGCAGAAGATGCTCAACCCTCTCAGTAGAGCTGGGCGTGGCTCTGCAGAATGCCCACCATATAGAAAAGAAAAAAGAAATGGGAAATGCAAGTCAAAAGGGATCCCTAGACTTGAGCTGGCAGTCAACAGGCAGGATGCGCCAGGATGAGTGGCACAGCTTTAGGTACGGGTGTGGACCTGAGTCTAACTGTGCACTAGGGGGTCAGGTACAGTTTGTTCTCCATAGCTGTTTGTAGAGATGGGCCAATAGAATGGGAGAAATTCAGGAAGGAGCTGAGCAGCAAATACCGCGCTGTCTGCTGTCTGTACACCCACCTACCCGTCCACACTTGCAATTCAAGTAGGGAGGGGTGGACTTCCTCAGCAGCCTGGGCATTCCCTGAGGAGAAAGTCTGCCAGAATCATAGGCAAGGGGCAGAGAGACCCCACCCCCACCCCCAAGTCCTCCATGTTGGAGTCAGGCAGCACCGGGACAGGCAAGCAGTTGGGGAGGCAGGCAGGGAGAGGGGTGTTCTATACTCAGCCACATACCCGGCCTGGGGTCAGGAAAAATGCCTTCAGCATAATGGCTGAACCCTAGGCCACCTTGCCCAGTCTGGGGCGTGACGGACTATTCCCAGGACTGCCTGGGCACAGAAGCCTGCTTTCCCCCGTGTTTCCTGAGCACATCCTTTCTCATCAAGAGCTGCAGGAACCACAAGGCAGGTCCTGAGCCCTGAAACCCTCCCAGGGAATGGCTTGGGAAGAGGGGGTACGCATATGGGACAAGGCAGCTTAGGCAGGAGTCCTGTCAGGTTTCTGAGAGAGGGCCTTTAGCATTTATTTGTGCTGTGGACGCAGGGTCCACGCTGTGGCATACACAGAGGTCAGAGAACAAGCTCCAAGCGTCAGCTCGCTCCCTCCACACATGGGCTCGGGGACTGAACTCAGGTCGCCTGCCAGCGTATAATGTGCGCTATGCCGCTTACAACAACACCACCTCGTCCCCAGCATGAAGGTGACAAGGGAAAGAGGACATGCCATGAGTCACAACTCTAAGGACAATAACTCAGAGACATAGGATGCCAGCTATCCAGGCAGGTGAACACCCCCTATACAGTACTGCCCCTCTGGTCACCATCAGGATGGCTTCCCACCTGTCAAAGGACACTCAAGAGACAGACAAGGCTCAAAACAGATATACCATTTATTTTGGAAACATGCCTTCCAGAATTTACATTTGCTGCCTTATAAAATCAAAGGTTGTGTATTTCTTTGCCAACCCTCAACCCAGCTAAGAAGTGTGAACACCCAAAGTTCTCTCAGGATCCTAGAGGCTGCAAGAGCAACTCTACTTTTTTTTTTTTATTTTGTTTTTGAGACAATATCTCACTATGTAGCTCTGGCTACCCTGGAACTCACTATCTAAACCAGGCTGGCCTTGAACTCACAAAGCTCTGTCTGCCTCTGCCTCCCACATTCTGGGACTAAAGGTGTGCACCACTATGCCAGGCCAAAGGAAACTCATGAATCCCAAAGGGCAAGAGTTTAGTAACAACTGGCCCAGAGTTTCCCTATATTGAGCAAACTGCTCCTCCAGACCTGGCTACTAAAGCTGCCTGGATCCCCTGGCAGAGGGAAACCCAGAGAAACACCTGCCAGGAGTGCCTGCCTCCTGGGGAACTCTACACTAGTCCTCCCCATCCCACGGCTTTACTGGCCACCAGCCCCAGCAGTCACGCTGAAGTACTCTTGTAGCTTGAGCAGGGCCCGGAACCGATGAGAAATGGCGTTTTTCTCAGCCTTTGGCATCTCTGCATACCTAAGAGGCAAAGAGAAGTAGCTCAGAAAAGAGGGAACCTAGATACCAGGAGGATGGGCACCCCACTGTCATCCTGAAGCCCACAGTCCAGTGATTCTGTTGGGGTGGGGAGGTCTCTGTAGGTAAAAATATCGAGAACCTGTGCAGATGCAAGGACAGACAGGCCCCAGTACTCCATGTTTGGGCCTAAGCAAATGACCTTCCACCCCAAGAAAGCCAGAAAATCAGGCAATGGGCCACCAGCTCCTCAGCCTGTTATACCAGACAGTTTTAAATTCTTCTGTAAGATAGAAACCCACAGTAACGGGCTTGGAGAGAAGCTGAATCTGCCCTAATGTGTCCCTAAGTTCTTTTTTTTTTTTTTTTTTTTTTTTCGAGACAGGGTTTCTCCGTAGCTTTTGGTTCCTGTCCTGGAACTAGCTCTTGTAGACCAGGCTGGCCTTGAACTCACAGAGATCCGCCTGCCTCTGCCTCCCTAGTGCTGGGATTAAAGGCGTGCGCCACCACCGCCCGGCTTGTCCCTAAGTTCTTAAGGAAAGCTGGGGGACAGGAATGAGGTAGGTGTTTGATAGGAAGCAATGGAGCCTGTCAGGTCAAACAGTACTGTGGGTTGGGGTCCAGGCAGCTGGCCGGGCCAGTTTTGTCTGTGTGAGGACACTACTAAAGAGGTAAGAGGTCACCCACCCCACCCCCCCCCACCCCCCCCACCCCCCCCACCCCCCCCACCCCCCCCCACCCCCCCCACCCCCCCACCCCCCCCCCGTCTTTAGGCTTCAGAACTAGCTACACGTGGCTAAGTTAATTACAACTGAATGAAAATGGGGCTGGAGAGGTGGCTCAGTTCCCGGAATCTGACGGCCCTTCTGACCTCTGGCCATACAGTCATCTGGTGCACAGAGGTGCAAACAGGCAAAACACCTATTAACATAAAATAAATAAACAGAATAAAAGTAAACCCAGTTCCTCATCTAGCTAAATTCCAAGGCTCTGTGACCACCCAAGCAGACAACCACGGACGGGCTGACTAGGGCTGCTTCGTGAGGTGCCAGGTGAGGTTACAGTCTGGAAAGCCTGGTCAGTAATGGCACCGTACAAACATGTACAAATGAGAGGCCGCTGTTAATGTGAAGTGCTAAGCATGTGTGCTGCTGTGTGGGTTTCAGATGATGAGCAGGCGCTACTAAAGAATGCATTTTCCCAGCCAGATGGAGCTAGTATCATCCCACAAAACCACAAGGTTTATGCACCTTAATAAGCAGGGCCAGAGGATAAGAGTCACCTGACATAAAATGGCCAAGTGACTTGAGAGTGGAACCTAGGAAACCTGTGTTGCCCTACCATGGACTAGATCACCTGGATTCCTTGTGTCCATTCCAGCAGAAATGGCTTTAGCTGGAACAAAGCTTGCCTTGCCCACATCCGCATGACTGTGCACCGGCAAAGGGCCCACCCAAGCCCATGCACCAGGTAAGAAATGTGGGTTCCTTACGTTTGCTCGTATCCATCAGGCTGAAAGCAGGGATCCCAGCCAAAGTCCCGGGAGCCTCGTGGCATCACGATCTGGCCCTGTAATAGGGAGGGCAGGTGTGTAACTGGAGACGTACTAAACCAGAGTGAGTTTGTTTAGTTTGCAAATCTGACTAAACCTGAGTTACTCAAAATGTCTAATAGTTCAAGGGATCCGCAGTACCGATAAATGTCTGTTAGGCACCTCAGCAAGGTGCAGAACAGTAGCGGGCTGTGAGGGCATACCTGCAATGAGAACACGAGGAGCTGAGGCAGGAGGACTGCTGAGTCCCCAGGCCAGTCAGGGCTACAAAGTAAGATCTGTCTTCAAAACATCCGGAGGCGAGGGAGACAGCTCAGCTGGTGATTCTCTTGTCTTATAACGAGGACCTGAGTTCAACTCCCAGAACCCACAACAAAAAACTTTAAAGAAGCCAAGTACAGTGGTGTATGTAGTGCCTGTAATCCCAGGGCAAGGGAAACAACCTAGTTTATTTAGCAAGTTTCAGGCCAGTGGAGACTGTGTAAAAAAACAAGATGAGCCAGGCATGCTGGTGCACACCTTTTAGTCCAGCACTTGGGAGGCAGAGGCAGGCGGATTTCTGTATTTCTGTGAGTTCAAGGCCAGCCTGGTTTACTGAGTGAGTTCCAGGACAGTCAGGACTACACAAAGAAAGCCTGTCTTGAACCTCCCCCCCAAAAAAAACCCAAGATGAACTCAGTAGGCAGATGTTCTCTGAGTTCGAGGTTAGCCCAGTCTACAGTGAGAACCTGTAAACAAGCCCCAAGATGAGCAGCACCCTGAGGCTGTACCCTGATCTTCACACATTCAAGGCCATCCTCAGCTATAAGGTTGAGAAGGGTCTGAACTATGACAAGTACTCACACCTATAATAGAGCAAGGTAGTGGCAGCAAAACAGAAGAAGCAAGACTTCAAGGCCACCAGGGCACAATGGCACACACCTTTAACCCCAACATTTAGAAGGCAGGCGCAGGCGGGTCACTGCATTCAAGGCCAGCAAGTTCCGGTCAGCCAAGCACATAGTGAAACCGTTGAAAGAAAGAAGGGGAAGGGCACACAAATTCAAACATAGAAATGTCACAAAGATGACAACCAGTGTCGTGTCCAGTGTTATGAAATGCCACGTTATCAAGTAACGAGTCTGATCTGGATCAGGGATGAAGCTCAAGGGGAGAGCTGGGCCACTACAAGATCCGGTCAGTAACACCACCACTACGGACAAAGCAAGACAAACTGAAGGAGGTGTAATTGCAGAAAGGCTCCTAGAATTGCGGTCCCAGGCTGAGGCAGAGCACTCCAAGTTCAAAGCAAATCTGTTGTTTGTGACCAGCACAAGCAATAGCAATACCCTGTTTCGAAACAAAATCCAACAAAAAGGAGTGGGAATATAGCCCAATGGTGGAGTGCATGCAGAGGATCTGGTGTGTGGGGGAGAGAAGAAGGCAGACAGTGGCAAGTGTGGCTATAAATGATAGCGATTAAGCACAGAAGTTGGACAGTGCCAAAGTTGAAATCATGCTTTTGCCTGTGGGGAGCTATGTGGCCAAAGCCAGTGACCGAGGCGCTCTGAACTTCAATACTGCCTGAGGCCAACATTCTTAGCCTGAGCCACAGCAAACCCAGACTTCTCCTCCTACAGTGGATGCTGTAAGGCCAACAGCTACTCCCAGGAAAATGCTGTTCACTGCAAGCACACCAAGGACAATGAGTACACAGGGAGACAGAACAAGGATGAGAAACAAGACCACCTCAAGGAGCATGGGAGCTGACAGACGGCAAAGTGCATGGGCAGCCAAAGCTGACGGGAAATCCAGAGGGACTGCAGTACCAGCCAGTCTAAGGCAGCTGCTATTAGTCAGTGCAGGAAGTGGCTAACTGGAGCCTTCTGGGAAAGCCACAGGTGGCAGTACTAATTATTAACTCTAACTGGGCTGGGACAGCAGCCCCGATCACGTACTGCATGTTTAACCTAAAGGGCTGAAACAGGATCTTGATTCCTCTGCACCCCTGGGTCCCAACAGCATCATTAACAAGATCCAAGAGGAGCAACCTGAGGTTGTCAACAAAGAAGCCAATGGAGAAAATGTAGACCACGGGAGGGGCACATGTACTCCTAGCTTCTGGGAAGTGGAGGCAAGAGGACCAGAACTTCAAGGATATCCTCAGCTATACAGTAAGTAGGGGCCAGCCTGGGGATACAGAAGACCCTGACTCGAAACCAAAAGAAAACAAGAAAGAAAGGTATAACACAGTGTACATAAACAACAAACGCTCAGCCTGGAAGCTCTGAGAGCTCTGTGTGCTACAGCATGGGCAAAACTTGAGAACACCATGAGCTAAACCAGCTAAGTGAGCTAAACCAGGCACAAAAAAAAACAAAATATTGAAGCAGGGACCTGGTGGCACACACCTGAAAATCTTGGTACTCAACACAAACAAAAGAAGCGGGGGGGGGGGGGGGGGGGGGAAGGGGGGGGGACGGGGACATGACGACAGATGGAGAGGTAAACAGTGGTGGCGCACGCCTCTAATCCCAGCACTTGGCAAGCAGAAGCAGGTAGATCTCTGTGAGCTTAAGACCAGCCTGGTCTGCAGAGTGAGTTCAGGACAGCTAGGGCTACACAAAGAATCCCTGTTTTAAAAAAATCAAAAAAATACTGGCTGCTCTTGCAGAGAACCGAGGTTCAATTTCCAGCACCCATACGGCAGTCACAACCCTCTGTAACTGCAGTTCCAGGGCAACCAATGTTCTCCCTGGCTTTGATGGTCACCACATTACATGTTGTGGACAAATAGACATGCAGGCAAAATATCCATACACATAAAATAAACTTAAAAAACAGTAACAGTAGTAGAGGAGTCAAACTCTTAGACGTGTTAAGGAAAATGGTGGCTGCTAGGAGCTAAGAGAAGAAAGAAAGGGGGTTTGCTCAATGTGTAATTTCAAACTTTTAAGATGAAAACATTCTGTAGTCCGGGTAAATACAAATACACTTAACACTTAGTACCCTGAACAGTTAAAATGGGTCTGTAGGGCTGGAGAGATGACTCAGTGGTTAAGAGCACTTACTGCTCTTTCAAAGACAGGGGTTCAGTTCCTAGCACCCACATCTGATCATCTGATGGCTCACATCATCTGTACCTCCAGCTCGGGGGATCTGCTGCCTTCAGCTTCCATGGGCACCTGTGCTCGTGTGCACAAATCCACATGCACACACACAAACCTACACACAATTAAAAAAAAAGATGGCTTTGGGTTGTGTCTGGAATTTGCTTTTGTTTTACTACTATCCAAAACATTTAACCAAACAAAATGAAACAAACATCTATGTACAGTCTAACTGGGGAACTACGGACAGGACAGACGGACATGCTGGAAGAAAGACTGGGCACTGGCCGGAGCAGCTCTATTGGTAGTCTGGTGGACGTGCAGAAAAGCAACTCAAAAAGCTCAGAAAAGTCAGCCTCAGGTCTGACAAGCAACCTCAGGGGGTGCTGAATGGGCACTGGCAGAAAAATGAACTTAGGAACTGAAATTCTGGGCTGGAGAAGTAGCCCCGTGGTAGAACACTTATACAGCACATAAAAGCTCCAACTTCCACCCGAACACCACAGAACAAGATTAAAATTTTATGTGAATGAGAAAATTCAGACAATCAAGAGAGGCTGTAGGCCAGGCGTGGTGGCACACGCCTACTTGGGGGCAGAGGTGGATCTCTGTGAGTTTTGAGGCCAGTCTAATCTACATAGTGAGTTCCAGGATATTAACAGCTACATAATAAAGACCTTGACTCGCTGAACATAGCAGACAATGAGGACTACTGAGAACTCAAGAACAATGGCAATGGGTTTCTGATCCTACTGCATGCACTGGCTTTGTGGGAGCCTAGGCAGTTTGGATGCTCAACTTACTAGACCTGGATGGAGGTGGGGGTTCCTTGGACTTCCCACAGGACAGGGAACCCTGATTGCTTTTCGGGCTGGGGGGGGACTTAATTGGGGGAGGGGGAGGGAAATGGGAGGCGGGTGGCGGGGAAGAGACAGAAATCTTTAATAAATAAATTTAAAAAATTAAAAAAAATAAATAAATAAAGACCTTGTCTCAAAGAAAAAAAAAAAAAACAGGGCTGCAGGAGCGCTGCAGAATGGGCATAATGACACAAGACCACTTGGAGGTAGAGGCCACAGGATCTAAAGTTCAAGCTCCATCTTGACCACATGGCAAGTTCAAGGCCAACCTGGGATAAATGAAAGACTATCCCAATCTCAAAAACCTGAGTGGGGAGGAGACTCTGGTCCTGGCAGAGGAATAAGGCCATCTCAGCATGCTGACCTGTAGCTTTGGCTTTGAGGTGTTTGTGCACATGCATTTTACCTGGACCTTCTCTGGCAAGATCTGAGTGCATAAGTCTAGCAGTCAATTGGGTTTGGGGATTGACATTTTTCTCACTGTAGTGTCCAGGTTTGTCTCACAGCAAGCATAGCGCCCAAAAGCCCCTGCTAAGTCTAGCATCTTCTTGTTTTGTTCCTGCAGAGTCCTCTGATGACCTGCAGGACTGCTCAGGTGGGTACGCACCGCGGTCTGGCCCCTGAACAGGAGGACTGGCTGGCTTGGGTCCCCAGTGCTGAGGGCAAATGTACAAAGTGCATAGGCTGATTTGTCCTCAAAGCCGGCCAAGAGCTGGTGGAGACCTGCAGGCAGAGTTAGAGAGGGTCAGTGAGTCCATGCTGTCCAGAAACCCAAGGGTGTGCAAGAACTCTCCAAATTGGACTGTGTTGGGGTGGGAGGCTGCGAGGGCTGCCCTCTAATCCTCAAGAAGGAGCTGAAGCCCCTCTTCAGGCTCTGACATAAACTAAAACAAGGTTCTTGTTGAGATTAAAGTCTCAAGTAGAACACCCAGCTTGGCCTTGAACTCACTTTGTAACCCAGGCTGTACTGGAAGGCTAGATTGCAGGCACGCATCACCACCCGTGGTTTATGTGGCACTAGGGACTGAATCCAGAACTTGATGTATGCAAGGCAAGCATTCTGCCAATTGCAATACATTCCCAGCCTTTGCTGTTGTTTGAGACCAGGATCCCAGGTAGTCCCAGGCTAGCCTTTACTTACTATATAGCTGAGGATGAACTTCTGATCCTTCTGCTTACAGCTCTCAGGATTATAGGCTTAGACTATCATACCCGGCTTTGTTTTTGTTTTTAAAACAGAATCTTGCTTTGTAGCCCAGGCTGAACTCCAGAATCTCCCTAGTGCTGGGTCACATACATGTGACCCCACGCATGGCTGACATAAGATTGATCCAAAAAGTAAAATGGGCTTTGTTTTTAAGATTTGTTTATTTTTACATTTAGACGTGTTTTGGTCACATGCATGTGCACCAGTGCCCACAGAGGCCAGAGGATGCCAAATCCTCTGGAACTAAAGTGATGGACAGCTGTAAGCAGCCTTGTAGGTGCTGGGAACCAAACCTGGGTCCTCTGCAAGAGCAACAAGTATACTTAACTGCTGAGCCAACTCTCCAGCCCATTTTTTTCTTTTGAGACAGGGTTTTATGTGTGACCCAGGCTGATCTTGAACTCTGGATCTTTCTGCCTCAGCCTCCTAAGGGCTGGGATTATAGGAATGCACCACTATGCCTGGTTTAAAATGCTTTAAAAAAAAAAAAATCTAAAGAGGGCAAGGTGGTGGGTGGTGGTGCTCGCCTTTAACTCCAGCACTTGGGAGGCAGAGGCAGAGGGATCTCTGCGAGTTCAAGGCCAGCCTGGTCTACAGATCGAGTTCCAGGTCAGACAAGGCTACATAGAAAAACCCTGTCTCAAAAAACAAACAAAACTACAAATAAACCCAAAAACCTAAAGAGGGATTTGGGGATACACTCACGAGTAAAAAGATTCTTGGCCTAGAAAAGGTAGCTCCCTCCTTGAGGACCAGGCTAGGCCATGGCTGAAGCGAAGAACCACAGTCATTAAGGTCAAGTCCCTTGATAACCAGAATCAGCTATGGCTCCTTTGTCCCTCAAATGCAAAGCTTTTATCGCCTGTCCCCAACTGTCCACCACAGTGCTTTCCGGAGTAAAGAGTGAATTCTAAGCTACCAGTGTGCAAACAGAGAAGATAATGGAGGTCAATGGCAGGGGCTAGAGCAGCGGTTACTAAGTGGGAACTACTCCCCAACTCAGTGCAAAAGACCCATGGGAAGAACCATAGGGACACATACCTTCAGGCTTTAGCTTCTCGAGGAACCATTTTCTGCAAAAGAAAGAAAGGAGAGTCAGCACCATGGGTAAGAGCGACTGATCTTCCTGTCGCCTACTCCATAGGACTAGAGCTCCCAAAGGAAAGAGAAATGAAAAAGAATGTCTCAAGCCAAAGGTATAGCTCAGCAGCAAAGGAAAGAGAAGAGGGGGAAGAGTGGGAGCTAAAGGGAGAGTAAACAGAGGCAGAAGGAAAGGAAAGAGAAAGAGAGATGGTCGGAGAGATAGCTCAGCCGTTAAGATCACTGGATGCTCTTCCAGAGGTCCTGAGTTCAATTCCCAGCACCTACATGGTGACTCACAACCTTCCATCTCATCTATAATGAGATCTGGTACTCTCTTCTAGCCACTGTATACACAATAAAGAAATCTTTGAGAGAGAGAGAGAGAGAGAAATATGAGTCTAATAAGAAAAAAACGGAGACCAAACAGGTACAGACAGAAGGCTCAATATACAAAGGAAGGCAAGGACCTCAGAGGGGACTAGGGAAAGACCCAGGCTGAAACAGGAAGACCACAAGTCCTGAGCAAGCTTAGGCTACATAGCAAGTTCCAGGGCAGCCTGGGCTGGAGAGGGGCATAATCTCAAGAAAACAAACCAAGCAAGCACATGGTAACATTACATATTCCCGAAACTGCAAACTATTAAAGTCACAACGGTGCCGGTGAGGCTGTGGAACAGTACAGGCTGCAGGTTAAAGGTGTGTCCTGCTTTGACAAAACAATCTCTTTTTATTGTCTTCTTTTTTGAGACAGGTGCCATATCATCTCAGAAATGAGCAGACACCACTTTTCAATCTCAAAGAACCACACTCTCATAATTAAAGAAAACTGTATCTCTGGTTGTTTGGTTGGTTTATGACAGGATCTCATGTAGCTAGACTGGCCTAGAACTCCCTATGTAGCCCAGGATGACCCAGAACTTTTGACCCTTCTGTCTCCATCTTGCAAGTGCATGCACTACCAAGCCTGCTCACCTAGTATACACAGGTAGGAGTTAAACTCGGGACTTTATGGTGCAATAAAGGCAAACACTCTAACAAGGGTGCTACATCCTCACCCACCTGTTATTCTTGTTATTATTATTTTATGTATGTCTATGTTTTGCATACATATATGTGTATGCACCACATATATGCCTGCTGCCTGCAGAGGGCAGAAGAGGAGGTCAGGCGACCTGAAAAGGTAGCTATAGATGGTTGTGGGCTGCCATGTGAGTGATGGAAACTGAACCCAGGTGCTCTTCAAGAGCAGCCAGTGCTCTTAACAGCTAATCCATCTCTCTAGCCCCTCTTTTTAAAGACTTATTTATGTGTGTGCACACACATCTAAGTGAATGTATGTGCATATGTATATACAGGTACCTGTAGAGGCCAGAAGAGGGTGTTGGATCCCTTGGAGCTAGAGTTACAGGAGTTTGTAAATTGAATGTGGATGCTGGAATCTAAACTCCTGTTTTCATGAATGAGCAACAAGCACACTTAAGGGTTGAGTCCTCTCTTCAGTCCTCTATATTCTTTGAGACAGGGTCTCACTGCATAGCTCTAGCTGGCTTGGAACTCACTATGTGGACCAGGCAAACTTCAAACTCAGAGAGCTGCCTGCCTCTGCCTCCTAGGTTCTGGGATTAAAGGCATGCACCATCACACCCAACTCTTCTTTTCTTAGGATATATCTAATTATGTATGTGCATGCGTATTGCATGTGTAGTGTGTGCATGTGAGTGTGGGTACCCACAAAATCAGGTTCCATGAAGCTGAAGTTATAGGCAGTTGTAAGCTACCTGATTTAGGTGCTGAGAATCAAAACTGGGCCCAGTGGAAAAGTAGCGAGCACTCTTAACTACTAAGTCACTTCTCCAGCCCTATCTCAACAGTCTTACTCCTTTCTTGGCACTGATGGCAAGATAGTGAAAGACCCATAACATCAGGTAACTAAGCACCTTACTATTCTAGCACTTTTGTGGATTGATGGGGCCCTGCAGGGCAGAGGTGTAGTAAGACTACTCACATGTAGGGGCCAGGGAGCCCCCCGAGGGCATTGAAGCACAGACAGGTATCCTCCACCAGTACAGGACCCTGCACCTGTAACACAAAGACACACAGCCTGAGATTTCTACCAGAGGTAGGCTTCATTCCCGACCCTGGGTCTACTCAGACTGGGGCCTAGCCCACAACTAGGTGAGGGTGAGCTCTGCAGGTGCAGGCTCATCAGGAGCCACACAACTCAGCTCTGTCTTTGATTTAGCAATGTGGACATCAGAGCAATGAAGTGCTGGGAATCTGCTGGAAGTCCGATTCTCTAATGGGCTCCTCCCTACAGGGGTGGGGAGGGGTGGGTATGTGTAGAGAAGATGTATGGCTGGAATGTATGGAACTAAGAATCAGAAAGGCGAGAGCTGGAACAGAAGAGGCAGTGTCCCAACAAACTACTTATTCTCTGCCTGCCCCCACAAGGCACAGGCCCCAGGAGCGCACCAGAAGACTGAATGGGAGACCACGATGGTTAAGTACCTGGCGAGCGGCCTCCCGACACTTCTGTATGGAAATTTCATCTGGCTCTCCCTGGTACTCAGGCACTTATCGGGGAAACAGACACACAGATGTATAGTCAGGACACAGGAAGGCAGTTAAATCAAACCACTTTTAAAAATGAAGCAAAACAGAAACATACGGTCAATTTTCTGTGCCACCAAAGTGCACGGAAACTTATCTCCTAGAATCTGAATGACCTGTTCCAAAATGAAAGAACATTTGTCAAGCCATTTGCTAGTAACTCTCCACCAGTTCCCTGTGACTATGCGAAGTGCTGTCCACCTTTCTCATTGGCTAATGTTCCCATCAGTCCCCTAAAGCTTATCCAATTGGGCCCATAAGCCTCATCCCATTCAGAGACTCACTAAATTAGCATCCTTTCTCCCTTCCAACTTCTGCTTTGTTGTTGTTATTTGATTGCAGGGCTTGCTTTTATTTGTCTATTTATCTATTACATCCAGTGGTGTTTTGCCATGGGTCAGGTCCCCTGGAACTGGAATCACAGACAGTTGTGAGCTGCCGTGTGGGTGCTGGGAATCGACCCAGGTTCTCTGGAAGAGCAGTCAGTGCTCTTACCATTGAGCCACCTCTCCAGCACCCCCATTTTCTTTTACCACCCTTCCATCTGGAACGCCCTTTTCCCTTCAGAACTCTAAAAAGGCAAGCCAGGCCGGGCAGTGGTGGTGCATGCCTTTAATCCCAGCATTTAGGAGGCAGAGGCAATCGGGGAGACTTGCTTATGCTCGTACAAATCCCCTCATTCAACTCTGGGCACCACCAAAGTTGAATGAGGGGACTTGTACGAGCATAAGCAAGTGCTCCACTTGATACACTACCCGCTAGCCTCAGACCCTTTAATGTGGCAAGGCCATGTGCTCAGTCAGAGGATTGGGGTTCAGCACCGACTGTTCTTTGACTCCATTCAGATGGCACCGCCTGTCTACCTGACTGACCTGGCTTTAGGATCCCAAAATTTAATCAGAATGGCTCTGGGGCTTTCAGAGACCACCCTGGTCCTGTACAGAAATGGCAGTCCTGTTTTCAAATGATGAGGGTCCTCCTGCTGTATCAATTGGTCAGCCTCTGAGTCCCCATCGTGACTTAGCAATGCTGAATGAAGAAGGGCAAACTCAACTGAGGCTAGAGCTGACACCTGTCAGAGCGTCACTATCTCCTCTCACAGATGGGGAAAAATAAGAAAGACTAACTGGGCTAGGAATGAGCATCCATGCCAGGTGGTGGTGGCGCACACCTTTAATCCCAGCACTTGGGAGGTAGAGGCAGGGGGATCTCTGTGTGAGTTTGAGGCCAACCTGGTCTACATAGGACAGCCAGCTCTACATATGTACGTACCAAGGCCCTCTCTCAAAACAAAACAAAAAAGGAAATTATCTGACCTATCCTCACTTCAGAAACAGTCCTACCACATACAGCAGGGCAGAAACAACGCACAAGGAAATGCCCAGTCTGGACGGACCTCCTGAGTTTCCGCAGTCTGTTAGCGCTGGGCCATACCCTTTCTGATCAGTTCTACAGTAATGCATCATCAAATCTACATAGAAAACAGCTTCCTCAGGCTAGGCGTGTAGTTCAGAAGTAGGGCAGTGACAGCAATCCTGTAAGTCCTGGGTTAGATCCACGGCACCTACTGTCTTTGGGTCTTCATTCTAAAAGCTGTAGCATGTAAAGCTTTGGCAGACTTGTGTTTTTCTTCCGCTAACCTGGCTGCTGTTATACTGTCGGCAGCCAGGAATCCTATGAAGTATGGCACACTTCAGATATGGGAAGTGCCTAAGGGTAGTGAACCATAGCGGGGTGTGGACTACGCAGTCTGGATCAACCCCACACACTTCTGTTTGCCGTTACTTTTGAGGTGCAGAGGTGTCAGAACTTAGGGGGTGATCTTTGCCACAGATGCCACTACTTCAGCTCCCACAGTCCGGTGACTTTACCAGTTCATACCAAAACGGGTGTGGTGAGCCATGCATGTAGACCTAGAACTTGGGAAACTGGAGGGTCAAAAGAACAAGGTCTATATATGACCCCAAATAATAAGAAAAGAAAACTAAAATCGGGCTGGAGAGATGGCTCAGAGTTTAAAGGCACTGGTTGTTCTTCCAGAAGTCTTGAGTTCAATTCCTAGCAACCACGTGGTGGCTCACAACTATCTACGATGAGATCCGGTGGCTTCTGAGGGTATGGAGGCACACATGCAGACAGAACACTGTACACATAATAAATACTTAAATCCTCTCGCACCTCAGGGCGCCGCACTTCACGGAGATCTCTCTCCAAGCCCAGCCCTTCCACACAGGGACTATCCAAGCTCCCAGAGGGTCCAACTCCCGGGGTTCCTCGCACCTTCTCCCATGATGCTTCCCACCCGCCTTCTAGAGGGTCCCCAAACCCTACGACACCTCCTCCAGCTTCTTTGCGTTTCCCGTCACAAACACGATCTTCTTGCCCACCAAAGACGAGGCCATTGCAGGGGCTGGTTACGGCCGAGTATGCCCGGAAGCTCTTTGAGGGGAACCGTAGGACACTTCCGTCTGGAGGCGGAAGTAGATAGCCCCAATTTCCGGCCCCACCCGAACCCTAAAGCATACCCCAGGCTGCGGCTACCTGCAACAGCGAGGTGGCAGCCGGGGCAGACGAGTTTCCCCGCAGCGAGTGTTGCGCTGGGCGCTGGGGACCCGCTGCGGGCGGGAGAAGCCATTCAGCGCCGGGGTCCTCTGCCACGCACCCCTGTGGGCTTGGACAAGGAGGGAGCCGAGAAGCCGCGCCTGTGTCCTGGGCGGCGTGCGTCCCTCGGAACCCCAACTTGGGCATGGAAAACTTATCTCTTGGACAAGGGCTCCCGGCCTGGGTTTCTGTCCTAACCTTGCCTCAGCCCCACACCTCGCCGGCTAGATCCATCTACTTCACTGCGAACTTAAACAGCGTAACCACATTTGCCCATCTCTTAGGCCGGGGAGCTAGTGTTTCTCTTTTTCTTTTCTATTGCCCCGCTCATCAGACCCCATCCCTTCCCCGGGGACATTACATTCAGCCCTGTCTCTGCATTGGGAACACAGCAAAGATTAGAATGCCCCTGTTAGCCCTCCCATGTGTGTGCGTGAGCCCGCTGAAGCCACAAGAGGGCGTCACGTCCCCTGGAACTGGAGTTACAAAGCGGTTTTTGAGCTGCCTGATGTGGATGCTGGGAACCAAAGCTAGGTTCTCTCCAAGTTGTAAACTCAGGCTGGTGAGATGGCTCAGTGGGTGAGAACACTGACTGCTCTTCCAAAGTTCTGTTCCCAGCACTCAAATGACGGCTTACAAATGTGTGTAACCCCAGTTCCAGGGGGTCCATTGCCCTCCTTTGGCCTCTGAAGACACCAGGTACACATATTGTGCACATACATGCGCAGGCAAACACTCATACTCATAAAATTAAATCTTTTTTTTTTTAAAAAAAAAAGAAGTTCAGGGTGCTAGCTAGACAGAGGGGTGCACACTTGTAATCCCAGCACTCAGTCTTAAACAGGAAGATCATGAGTTCAAAGCTAGCCTGGGCTATATATTGTGTCAAGGTTGTAGCTCAATGGTAGAACATTTGTATAGCATGGCCCTGGGTTTGGACCCTAGATGCACACACACAAACAATGGAATCCTAATCCGGCCTGACTGTTTAGCTTAGTATTATTGATCTCTTATAGTCTTGGGTATTTGTGTGTTGCTATAAATGCAACTTGGGGGCTTATGGAACTTCGGAAACCCTGTACCTCTGAACCACATGCCCAGTACACTACTGATTTTTTTAAACTCTAGAACTGTCCTCACAGGATAGCCACTGCCTCTAAGCTGGAGGCTAGCCTCATCTACAAGTGAGTTCCTGGCTAGGCAGGGTTATAGGAGAACCTGTTTCAAAGAAACAAAACAAAACATCCCATCCACAAACAAAAAAAAATGGAGAAGGGCCTGGGTCTCAGGGTACACACCTGTCATCCCAGCTAATCCAAGCACTAGGGAGATTGAAGTAAAAGGATCAGGAGTTCAAAGTCATCCTCTGCTACACGGTAAGTCTGAGGCCAACCTAGGCTACCAGAGACCCTGTCTCAGAACAGAACAAAACAACTCAAGTAGGGGCCTGTGCTGAGATAAAACTCCATGCATAGCCATAGTCTGCATGAGAACACGGGTCTAAATCTCCAAATACAAAGAATGTAGGTGCTAGAGATTCATTTACTGTAACAGCACGTGCTGACACCTGGAAGGCCCTAGGTTTATCAACATTGAAAAATAAATTTCTAAATATTCAAAATTTACAGAAAATAACGCAATAGATGCCTAAGTTATTAGTAAAGTATTAATACACGTTGCCTTTTCTCGGTGCTCACGATCAAACTAAGGGCCTTGGTCGTGCATGCGCTACTACAACGTACAACCCCAGCTTAATCGATCCCCACTTACCCATCCCCGCTCTTTTCTTTTGTTTCTTTCTTTAAGATTTGTTTTATGTATATGAGTGTTTGGCGGGCATGTATGTCTGTGTACAACGTGCGTGCCTGGGGTTAGAGAAGGTCTGAAAAGGGCATCGGATCCTCTGTAACTGAAATCACAGAAGGTTGTGAGCCACCATGTGGGTGCTGCGATCCGAACCCGAGCCCTCTGGAAATGCAGCCAATGCTCTTAGCTGCATCGGAAATGCTGATCTTAGGGTCTCCACTTCCCGAACGCTGGGGTGACAGACACGGGGCAGCAGCCCGGACCTGGTTAACTGAGGTCCCGTCACCCCTGGGCGGGGGCGGAGCACAGCGTGCGGCTGGGCAGAGCGTACGGTAGTGGGCGGGGCCTGGCGATCCGGGTCCCGCGGGCGCGCCGGCTTCACGGCGAGGCTGTCTGTCGTCATGGTGGGGCCGTGGGTGTACCTGGCGGCGGCGGTTTTGCTCATCGGCCTTATCCTCTTCCTGACTCGCAGCCGGGGTCGGGCGGCAGCAGGTAGGAGGTGCCGCCGTCCCAGGGCTGGAGGAGTCCGTTTCTCAGGCTTCCTGGGCTTTGGTAGGCCGTGGCGTCGCGACTCGTGCGCATGCACTGACGTGTCTTGCCGTGCTTACGAGGAGCTCGTGCGCGGACCTGGGACAGCTCTGCGCACGCGCGTGTGGATGCACTCGGGAGTAGTACGGAGCCTAGGGTTGGGGATGCAACCTGGGGACCAAGCCTGCGGTTCTGCTCTGCACCAATAGGAGAGGCTGCAGGTTTTCTAATCCTGCCCTGTGTGTTCAGCTTACTGGCAATTGGAGGGCGAGGCAGCCTCAGGAAATTCTGAAGGCGTCTCCTTCCCCATCAAAGAGGGTCACCCTCGCTGCTCGGCCTCCCCTTCACCAGGCTCAGAAGGCAGTGTCATTGGCCTGGCACGAAGCAGTCCTCCTTACTAACACTCCTCGTATGCTTAGGAGTTTCAGAATGTCTCTGAGGTAAAGGTGATAGCCAGCAAATCTTCCAGGGAGGAGAGATTCAGCCCTTGACGGTGAAATGTGCTTCTGGTTGGAGTACCCTCTAAAATTATAGCATAGTGTTAAGAAATAAATGCCATCTTGCAGTGGACATCGAGTGCGATCTGTAAAGCTCAGGGTGAGAGCATTCTAGCGGGTCCCCCGCGAAGCGGAGGGGAGTGAGTTGAAAGGAGATGAAGGCATTAAAGCGGGTAGGAAATGAGGAATAAGCTTGCAGCATCAGACCAAGGCATAAATAATAAAGGCTTGACTGACCAAAGTTGGAACACTGGGCTTTGGGCAGCTATTGTCTGGAAGGAGGTTGAGCAGGGGAGGCCGAGACTCCCACAATACTGTTCCTCCACACTATCAAGAGGATGGGCTGCTTGACAGTGTCATGGTTCCTCCCTCCCCGAAGCTGGTGGTGAGCCACTGCACAATGAGGAAGAGCGGGCTGCAGCAGGCCAGGTAGCCCAGCCTGGGCCGCGGGAGTCTGAGGAGCAGAGAACTGGAGGCCAGCCACGGCGGCGGAGGGACTTGGGCAGCCGTCTCCAGGCCCAGCGTCGAGCCCAGCGAGTGGCCTGGGCAGAAGTGGATGAGCATGAAGATGAAGCTGTTATTCCAGGTGAGAGGGCCCAGCCTGGGGGAAGGGGGCTGAATTCTGGGGGTTACCCAGAGTAGGTAAGGGCAAGGAGTATGAAGCCACAGTATAGGAAGGACGTTTAGTGGTGGGGCCAGAGTCTTGGGCCTGGACTTTGGTCCTTAAAGTCAACATTTGTTAGCCCAATCCGTACTCCATCAAGCAATCCCTTTCTCCCTTCATCTTGGTTCAGTGGGGTTACCTGTAACCCTAGAATAAGTGCTTGAGGATAGAGACATTCCTGGTGACATGTACCTCCATATGTCAGCTACTTGGAGTTTCACAAAGTCCTCCGTATGAAAGGAAAGAATGTCTCTTCTCTGGTACTTGAAGTCTGACTTCAGGGTGAAGATGAGATTGCTAGACCTTACTCAGAATTTAGGCAAGTTTGGGACTTTTCCCTTGGTTTAACATTTGCCTTGGGATTATTAGCCCTTTTGGCTTAAAAAGAACGCGATAGTGAATGTGTGGTACGTGCTTATAATTCCTACATCAGAAGACAGAGGCAGGAGCATGGCAAGTTTCAGGCCAATCTGGGTAATATAGCTGTTTCAAAAGCAATACATGCAACAGGGAAGAGGCCTCTCATCGCCAGCCTTCCTGTCTCAGAGTTCGGTCATATTCTCTGAGGCTCAGACATCTACATATCATTCATTTTCAGCTGGCCCTGGAGTGGTCCTCAGGCTGGGGTTATTTTTTCAGTCTGTCTCTGTTAAGGTAAAGGAAGAATCCTGGTTGAATTTACAGTTGGAATAGATTTATGCACAGTGCCATCATTCCCTGGAGGCTTGGCACAGAGACTTCTGCAGGTACAGACACCTGTGAGCCACAAACGTTCAGGGGTTGACATCTTGCAGCTGTGCAGTATCTAAAGTCTCATTTGTCCCCGTGGCCTTCAAATCCCTCAAGTACACACGTGTATGTTCTCACACCCACACTCACGTGTGCGTGCACATTTATGGTAGATGCTTTTGAAAGGCAGAGGGGACGGAAACCCCACTCCACCCCCATCCACCCATCCCTTAAGGAAGGTGAACGGGGGAGGGGGAAGGAGTTCTGCCTAGGGCTTCAGTTGTTTTTGTCTGACCATACCCAGCCCAGGAGGAAGAAGGCATTGAGAAGCCAGCAGAAGCTCACCCAACAGGGAAAATTGGAGCCAAGAAACTACGGAAGCTAGAGGAAAAACAGGCTCGAAAAGCCCAGCGTGAGGCAAGCAAGAGGATGGGGCTCGGCTCCCGAGAGACTGTCTTTGGGGTCCCTTTGATGCTAGGCTGGTATTCGCTGTCTGCCCGGCTTTGTCTCTTGCAGTCTTAGCCTATGTCCTGGCACAGGACTAGGCAGAGGAAGGGGAGATGTGTATAAAGAAACCTCTCTCCAGGCAGAGGAGGCTGAACGTGAGGAACGAAAACGCCTAGAATCCCAACGAGAAGCCGAATGGAAGAAGGAAGAGGAGCGGCTTCGCCTGCAGGAAGAGCAGAAGGTGAGATTGACTCCAGACACTGTCGTCTGACCTGTTATAGCCTCGCCTTGCTCCTGGATTGCTCCCAAATGTCTCCATCCTACAAGATAGGCCACGGTACCGTACTGGGTGTGGTGGTGGCTCGTATCTCTAATCCCAGCACTTGAGAAGCTGAGGCAGGTCATCTTGGACTAACTAGCTAACTCCTATCTACAAAACAGAAGATGGTCTGTGGATCCAGTGCAGGGGCCTGCCCTTGTTTATTCTTTCCCCTGGCCTTAAAATATCACCTGTGGAAGCACTATGGGTTTGAACTGAGGGTTGTTGTTGTACTCAAGATAGTGTTTCTCTATGTAGCCCTAGCTGTCCTAGAACTCACTCTGTAGACCAGGCTAACTTTATACTCAGAGATCCACCTGCCTCTGACTCCTGAGTACTAGGACTAAAGGTATGTGCCACTATGCCTGGCTCTTTTTAAAAAAAAAAAAAAATATGTGTATGGGGTTTAAAAAATAAAAAGCCAGACATGGTGGGTGTATACCCAGCACTCGGGAGTCAGAGGCAGGCAGATATTTGAGATTCAGGACAGCCAGAGCTATATAAAGAGACCCTGTGTCAGAAAAACAAACAAAACAAAACAAATTATATGGGTCTTTTGCCTGCGTGCCTGGTGCCCATGGAGGATAGAAGAGGACATCGTAACTGCAGTTAGAAATAACTGTGAGCTACCATGTGGGTTCTGGGATTGGGACCCAGGTCCTTTGGAAGAGTGACCAATGCTCTTAACTGCTGAGCAAATGCTCCAGCCCAGAGCTGGGGATGCTGTGACCATGAGCTGCGAAGAACAGAACATTTGCAGAACATTGAACATGGTCAGAGCATCTGGACAGAGAAAGTACCGAGGAGAAAAGGAGGTGGAGAAATAGGTCCCAAGGACCTCGAGGTTCTCCACAGTCTGAAGAGATGGGTGAATCTGTCCAGGGCCTGGCATAGAAGTGATCTTGGAGAACTGGAGCCACCACAGAAAGGTGGTTCGTGGCTCCTTGTCTGCCAGATTATTCCAGATCTATGTTTCCAGGAAAGGGGAAAGTGCAAACATGTAGGGTACATAAACAAGAGGGCCTCTAGCAGGCCTTGTTCCAGAGCTCCCTGTCTGCAGGAACCGTGGAGGCGTGGCAGTGGGAGGCATGAGCAGAGGAAGTGATCATGCCTAATGTACCTTCGAGGTTCTGACTTCCTCCCTGTTTTAGGTTTCTCAGCAGCTGTATATATGGTACATTTCTCAAAGCAATAGTAACACACCCTTAGATTAAGGGTCACACTTTTTCAGATATTTTTTTATTCTTTTTGGTTTTTGAGACAAGGCTGGCCTTGAACTTGCTGTGGAGCCAAGGATATTCTTTCCTCCTGTTTCTCCTTCCCAAGCCCTGAGAGGAGAGGTGCACCATTATGCCTTGTTTAGGGCTTCATGCTTGCTGGGCAAAGACCCCACCAACTGAGCTGCATTCATCCCAGCCCTAGTATTTTTTTCTCTTTTTTCCAGTTATTTTATATGGGTGTTTTGCCTGTACATATGCTTGGAGGCCAGAAGAGGGCGCCAGATTCCTCTGGACCTGTAGTTACAGACTGTTGTGAGCCACTGTGTAGGTGCTGGGAATCAAACCCAGATCCTCTGGAAGAGCAGCCATTGCTCCTAACCACTGAGCCATCTCTCCAGCCCAAGTACTTTTGTTTTGCAGGATCATACCTAATGTACCATGTTTCATTTACTTGTCATTTCTGCTTAGGCCTCTGTGGGATTCATTTGTCAGGTTTTCCTTGTTTATCCTCTTGGTAGATTTGAAGAGTACTGGGAAAGTAGTTGCAGATTGTACCTTGGTTTGGATTGACTGGTTTTTATTTCATTTTATTTATTTTTTTTTAGATTAAAAAAATAAGGGCTGCCCTATGAGTGCTAACAACCAAACTTGAGTCCTCTGAAAGAACAGCCAGTGCTCTTAACTGTTGAGCCATCTCTCCAGCCTGACTTTTCTTTTTAATTAGTTAATTATTATTTTTGAGACAGGGTCTTACTATGTAAAGACAGGCCTCAACCCTCAACAGGGTGTCCCCAACTTATACTCTGCTTACCTCTGCCTTCAGAATGCTGGAGTGACCGGTGTCTGTCTTGTGGTTAGAATGGGGTTGGGTTTGGTTTTGTTTCCCAGTACTGAAAATTGAACACTGCCTGTGCCTTCCAGGGAAGTGCTCCACTTTTGAGCTATTACTGTTTGCTTTTACTGTTTTTTCCCGCCTTCACATACTTGTTGGAAGTCAGTCACTGTTCTGCTGCATTTAGAAAGTAGAGAGCTGGATCTAGAGTGACAGGTCACTGGGTAAGAGTGCTCACTGCTCTGTCAGAGGACCAGAGTTTGGATCAGGCGGCACACCAACACCAGTATCCCCAGCTCAGGAGGGTCTGATGTCCACTTTTGGCCTCCATGGACAAGGGGGAGGGGAGCAAAGAGTCTGACCAAGAGGCAAGGTGATCTCCTCTGACATGCCCGTTTTGTCTGGGCTGCTCCTGGAAGGTGGGCCTTCCCACGTGCATCAAGGCAGTCAGGATGGTTCTTCGGGTGAGGCTGTCTACGCAGGTGGTTCAGAAGCCAGACTGTAGCGGGCTGGCTGCATGCATAAGTAGGAGGAAGTAGAATCTGCTGGTTGTTTGTGTCTGGATGTGACCAGGGAAAGTTGTGACATTTTCAAGAATTTTCTTCCTACACTATCTCCTGAGCATGGGGGCAGGGGAAGGTCTAAGCAGCATTGCCAGGGTGATGGCGAGGAGAGAGCCTCCGCCTGTTGTTTAGCTTGAGACCAAGGGGTGAGAGAAGCACCTGGAGAAGCAGCATTTCTGGTGATTCGTGCTTGTGTTCTGCAGAGACAGCAGGGACAAGAGCAGATGTGAGTGGGCAGCTGCCCCAAATACCTACCTCTTCTTTCTCCACATCCGCAGGAGGAGGAAGAGAGGAAGGCTCGGGAGGAGCAGGCCCGGCGGGAGCATGAGGAGTACCTGAAACTGAAAGAGGCCTTCGTGGTAGAGGAGGAAGGTGTCAGCGAAACCATGACTGAGGAGCAGGTGGGCCCACCCCCTGGGAAACCTGTGCCACAGGGATAGTGTGTGTTAGGTCCAAGGCCACTCACACCACCTTAGATCCTTCTGACTGTGTGCCGAGAAGCAGGTTGGATGCCCGTAAGTGTAGACCCCTGTGACTGTAGCCTTGGTCTCCACAAGGAGTGTTGTCCTGTCGTCCCTTAATCTGGGAGGCGCTTCCCATCAGGAAAGCAGGTGGTGGGGTGGGAACACAAGACAGCCTGCAAGCAAGCAGCATGCGGGTGAGCCAGGAGTGTAGCTAGCTAGGGCCAGGCACACAACTCTGTGCCTCCAGCCAGGGCTGGTACTCACTGGTTTCTCTGCTCTCTAGTCTCACAGCTTCCTGACAGAATTCATCAATTACATCAAGGTAAGAGGCTCAGAGAACTCTGGTATCTTCTGCCATGTGAGTGTGCATAAGTATCTGTGCTATTTTGTGTAAGTTTTCAGGACCAAGTAAGGGCTATCCCAGTCAGTCCTGGACTGGAATGGGCATGGGGTCCAGAAGGCTTGAGCTACTGTTTCTTGGCCAGGAAAGTCCCTTCCCTTCAGACCCAGAAGGTAGAGAAGGGACAGTGGTCTGTGTGGGAGACTCCAGCCTCTGATGGCGTCCTAATTCTTGGTTTGACAGTTCTTCAGACCCCACGTTCAATGAGTCATCGTATTTTGAAGTCAATTCACATGTGTTTTCTGTCAGTCACACTGAGGTGCCACTGAATTGGAACAAATGTCCTGTCCTCTGTGGTCCTGCCTGGGAACTTGGGCTTTCAAGAAGAAGTAGGATGGTGTTTCCATCGTAACCTAGGGTAGCCAGCAGTGTCCCTCCATCCATCGCCACCTCACGGGCTGCCCTGATGTTGCTCTGGGTTGCATAAGCACATTCTGATCTGCTTTGCTGCTAAGCAACTTCTCTCCCACAAAGGATGCGAGAAGGGGAGAGGTTTTTAAGTGCAGCTCAGAGGTGCAGAGGCAGCTGAGGGAAGAAGTGCAGAGGGAGCGGGGGCGATGGTGGGGGTGGTATCAGGGGCTGCCAAGTAGCTGGGGCTTGCATAATCCTCCCCCACCTCTCCTAAAAGAGAGCAGAGTTTAGATGCCTCCCAGCAGCAGTGAGGGGCTGGGCACATGTCTAGGGCCCAGGATCCCTAGAAAGGAGAAGCGATAGCTTCTTCCAGAAGGTCCTTTTCCCTTAGGTTGTGAGCATTTCCCTAATGAAGCCCACACTCCACCCTGGCACACTGCCCTGAGCAAAATTTTTCACACTGCCGCTGTTGTTGCGAGAACTTCCTGTCCCTTCCTCACGAGGCCTCCCAGGTGGGTTAGAGGTCAGCTGCAGGTTACCCTCTTTTCTGCAGAGGCCAGAAGAAAGTGTCCGGGTAGGTCTGGCTCTTGCTTTGGTGGCTCCCTGGAGATTCCTGTTTTGTTTTGGTTTGGTTTGGTTTGGTTTGGTTTTGTGTTTGAGATGGTTTCTCTAAGTAGTTCTTGCTGTCCTGGAACTCACTCTGTAGACCAGACTGGCCTTGAACTCAGAGATCGGCCTGCCTCGCCTCCTGAGTGCTGGGATTAAAGGTTTGTGCCACCATCATCTTGATGTTCTACAAACTCCTGGAGCTTAGGAATTTGTTCACCCTGTGCTGGTTTATTCCCTTGGAGCTACCGTCTTAAAGGAAGGAAGAGGACTCCTGAAATCCATTCCTTCTAGCTTCTTCCTCACTCCAAGGGACCAGACCCTTTAGACATAATTTCAGAGCTGGAGGAGGATTTCTGCACACAGCTCGATTTCACTCGAATAGTAAGGATGTCTGTTCTACTTCTACCATGGCTAGGTATATCTGTTAGCTCAAACCCACTTTTGACCCTCGTAGTATCCAGGCCCAATCCTCAGGAGCCAGCACCCCAAGAGGTGAGTTCAGTCCTGCCCCAAGCTGCTACTGAGAGCTGAGTGCCTGGTCTGCTTTATAGGTAGAAGTTGCTGGCCAGATCACCTGTGCTTGCCCGATCCCTGGTCCAACTGCTTCATGATTGTATCCTCCCCAACTCTCCCACCCTCACTTTGCACCCCTGCTTGTACATACGGTTTAGCATTCCGACAAGTCACATGCCATACGTAGCTGGGGAGGCAATCACCATGTCATTACTCCCCCAGCTCATTTCCTGTGGAAGATTCAGAGAGATGCAAAGGACCGCCTTCTCTCAAAGATTATGCTATATGCGGCACAGGTGGGGCAGATGCATGTATGGACCCAGCTGTGACTCCTTGACTGGAAGCTAGAGTTTCTCCTGAGGATGTGAGAGCAGCACGTGAAACATGGCACAGAAAGCCCATTCTCCGCTGCTAGTATGGTTACTTTGTTTGTATGTGTGTGGGTGTGTCTGTGTACGGGACATAGGATTGCATGCAGAGAGCACTTTCTCCGCTGCTAATATAGTTCCTTGGTGTGTTTGTGTGTGTGGGGGGGGTGCGTGTGTGTGTTCGTGTACCTGTATACGTGGATATGCACATATTCAGGAGGCTTCAGGTATTGTTGGTTCCTTGGGTATTGTCTGTCGTTCCCCCCCCCCCCCGCCCCCATTTTTTGTGGTTTTTCAAGACAAGTTTTCTCTGTGGCTTTGGAGCCTGTCCTGGAACTAGCTCCTGTAGACCAGGCTGGCCTCGAACTCACAGAGATCCACCTGCCTCTGCCTCCCGAGTGCCGGGATTAAAGGCGTGCGCCACCACCACCCGGTGCCCCCCTCTTTTTTATCAAAGGAGAGGGGGTGATGTGCGGTCTTTCTCTGGCCTGGAACTCACCAAGTAGGCTCCAATGGCCGGCTAGTGATCCCCAATAATCTCCTTGTCTCTGCCTTTCCAGCACTGAGGTTTCGAGTGCACAGTGTCAGCACACCCAGCTGTTTGTTTTTGAGGCAGGTTCGAGTCTCACTGTGTAGACTTGAACTCTCAGCAATCCCTCTGCGTCTGTCTCTGCCTCCTGAGTGCGTACATTGCCACTTCAGTCATGCCCAGAGTCTGTGTGTGAGTCTGGGGATTGGACAGCACTATCCCTAGTGATGATTGTGTGGCCATACCTCAGACAGTGTGAAGAGGATGACTGAAAAGAAAATGTCAGGGTTACGGAAATCTAGTCTGAAGGGGTGGGAAACAAATATAAAGGAGGAGTGGTCTCCATGGTCCCTCATGAAAGGCCTGTTGTCTTTCCTTTCCTTTTTTCTTTACTTCTGTTTGCCAGAGATGCTTTTAGCTCAGGGGTAGGAATTGTGTTTCTTGTTTCCTATTCCTTCAACCCCCCCCCTTTTTTTTTAATGTGTGTGAATGTTTTTGCCTGCATGAATGTATTGCACCACATACATGCCTGTATTCCTGGAGTTCTGTGGAACTGGAGTTAGGGATGGTTGTGAGCCACCACATGGATGCTAGGAACTAAACCCGAGTCCTCTGAAGAGTACAAGTTCTAAACCACTGAGCCACCTCTCCAGCTCAGCTCTGCACCTTCTTAATGACTTGGCTGGCAGATCCTCAGCAAACACAAGTCTAGATGAGTTTGGTTTGGTTTTTTTGTTTTTCAAGATGGAGTCTCGTAGCTCAGACAGGCTTTAAACTCAATACATGGCCAAAAATGGTCTTGAACTGACCTTCCTTCCTCTAACTGTGAAGTACTAGGATTACAGGTTTGTACCACAACATCTTACTTAGGTGTTTTTTATTTTTTTTTTTTAAGATTTATTTATTATCTATGTAGTGTTCTGCCTACAGGCCAGAAGAGGGCACCAGATCTCATTATAGATGGTTGTGAGCCCCATGTGGTGGCTGGGAATTGAACTCAGGACCTCTGGAAGAACAGCCACTGCTCTTAACCTCTGAGCCATCACTCCAGCCTCACCATTTTTTATTTTTAAAAGCTTAAAAACAAAAAGACCAACATTTGGGCTGGCAAGATGACTCAGCAGGTAAAGGTGCGTACTATCAAACATCAAGATCTGGATAAGTCCTGGGAGTCACATGGTGAATGGGGAGAGCCACTTCTGAGCATGTCCTCTAACTGCTCCTTGTTCTTGCTCTCTCTCTAAATAATTTTAAAATGTTCATTTAAAAAAATGGTGTGTAAACCAAGTGGTGATGATACACACCTTTAATCCCAGAACTATAAGGCAAGTTATAAAGTTATAAAGGTTGGTACATCTCTTGAGTTCAAGGCCAAACTGTTTACAAAGCTAGTCCAGACAGTCAGGGCTACATAGAGAAACTCTGTCTCAAAAAAAAAAAAAAAAAAAAAACCCTAGAAAACCTTTCTTTAAAAACAAGGTCATCTCACTGGCTCAGAGCTGGCTAAGTGGTCTCAGCCTCTCTCCCTCTTCTTCATTTTATCTGTAGCAGTCCAAGGTTGTGCTTTTGGAAGACCTGGCTTTCCAGATGGGTCTGCGGACTCAGGTAAGCCCTGGAGCGTGGGTTGGAACGTGGAACGCAGCTAGAGGGTCTGTGTGGCAAGTGGGGCTGGCCTGAGCTTGGTAAACTGTGATACCCCCAGGCTGACTCCAGCCAAGAGGGAACAGGGTATAGGAATTTCTTGGCATTCCAGGAATCCTACGTTTCTACAGAGATGAAAAGAACAGGAAAGAAAAAGGAAATTCAAATGCCATACTTTAGCCTTCCCTGTGACCAAAGCAGCCCAAATCCAGTTACCTCTTCCAAGTTGGCAGATCCTAGGATCAGAGTCCCTCCACTTGAGAGTTCCCTCCAAAGGGAAGCGTGGTCACAGCCAGGGGACAAGCTGTCTGTAGTGGTAGAGGGGTAATGGGTCTGTGGGCGTGGGAACCACAGGACAAGCTCTGAGACTTGTTTCCCTCATAGGACACCATAAACCGCATCCAAGACCTACTCTCCGAGGGAACTCTAACAGGTGAGAGAATTAGTCAGTCCTGTATATATACAGCCCTGGCCTAGGGGAGTGTGTGACCACAGAAGGCTACTGGGACTTGTTCCAAAGGCAGCTTGGCCTCTCTAGGGTGGGAGGGTTAAGCAATAAAGGACACTGAAGAATTGGACTTGGTTACAAGGAAGACATAGAGGCCTCAGCCTGACTCATCTAGGTGGGATTTGATATACCAGGAAGGGCCAGGCTGACAGGAAAACCAAAAAGCTCTAAATCAGTTATAAAGGATAAACGGGCATTTTCAGGCTAGGTAGGAAAAGGGTTTCAATCCTACAACGTGCATGTCCCCACAGGTGTGATTGACGACCGGGGCAAGTTCATCTACATAACCCCAGAGGAACTGGCTGCCGTGGCCAATTTCATCAGACAGCGGGGCCGGGTGTCCATCACTGAGCTTGCCCAGGCCAGCAACTCCCTCATCTCCTGGGGCCAGGACCTTCCTGCCCAGGCTTCAGTGTGACTCCAGCCTTGACTTGAATGTATCCTGTGGCCTCCAAGCATCACTAGACTTCCTGCCATCTTGGGGCAGGGATGCAATATGGCCAGAAAGTTGTGAGTTAGAGGCCTCTGAGTGCTACTGAACTTGTGTGGCTTGGTGTAGAAGGCCTGGCCTGGGATCTCAGAGAAGCAGATGAAATCTACATCTCGGGCTGTATCTTAGAGGTGAGAGGGTCCCTTATGAGGTGGCAGGAGTCCCGTTTCATTAAAAACAAACTATTACACATTTATTGTATTCGTTTGTGCCCTGCAAGCCCAGCTCCCTCGATGAGTTCCCTTCTGGGGCAGAGAAAAGTGCAGATAGGAGAGTCTCTGAGGCCATATCTCCTCCAGTTGGTGAAGTCTCACCGTCTTATTTACAGACCCAGGAGTTCCAAGTAGAGCCAGGAGCCCTGGGGAGAAGAGTTACTGAGAAATGCCAAAGATAGAGACCTGGAGAGCTAGGTCTCACTCTGTAGTTTCTGAAAGGGAGGTCTCTGGAAGAAGGACTTGTCAGCTGCTTCTGAGGCAGGAAGAGGAAGAAAGCCCGTTTGGACTGGGTGTCATTGTTCTGACCGCACAGCACATGGACTCAGCCCTGAATCCTCAACCAAAAAAGTTCTGAGTGGCGTGGGTGATTCCACCCGCAGGAGGATGAGGAACATATGCTCAGAAGTGGGTGTGGGATGAGATGTGTGTCTCTTGCAGGGTCGTTTGCTCTGGTTCCCGTGGGCTGTCATACTATACTGAGAATAAGACACATTTTTAAATTATTTTATTTTATGTGTATGGGTGTTTTTGCCTGTGTGGTTTGTATGCACCGTGTACATGCCTGCAGAGTCCTGAAGAGGGCATTAGATCCCTTGGCACTGGAGTTAGAAAGGGTTGTGAGCTGCCATGTAGATGCTGAATACTCTGGAAGAGTAGCTGGTGCTCCTAACCTTTGAGCCATCTCTTCTCTGGCCTCTTGTTTGTTACTTTGGTGAGTGAGTGTGTGTGTGTCTGTGTGTGCCTGTGTGTCTGTACAAGATCTCACCAGCTGACTTAGAGCCATTGTACAGACCAAGCTGTCCTTGAACTCACAGAAATCTGCCTGATTCTGCTTCCTAGGTACTAGAATTAAATTACACCATCATGTACAGTCTCTTTTGCTTGCTTTTTGAGACAGTAGGCATTTTTAGTCAGTAAAAAAAGGGTGCATTCATTGTTGGTAAGGTGAAGTATACCCAAGTCTTAGTAGGAGAGGAAGAAATACGGATGACCATGGTAAGAGGTAGGGTAGGAGAGACTTAGGTGACAGTGGAGTCAGCTTATCAGTGGTTACCTTTCTTAGTTATATATTAGAACAACCTGTGGGGTTCTTAATACTTTCCCCCTAGACTTCCCCCAAGGCCAGTTAAGACAGAATCTTGATATCATCAGAGTCCATCAGCAGGACTCGGCCAAGGGCAGCAAGGCTGAAAGCCTAGGAAGACATGGGCTACACAGTGGAGGCTTGGGAGGCGGCCCAACAGGTAAAAGCACTATCCACGCAAGCATGTTGACTCAGGTTCAATCCCTGACATCACATATAAAGCTAGATATTTTACCATGCGTGTGTAATCTCAGGATTCCTGCAGGGAGATGGTAGGCAGAGCCCAGAACTGGTGGACTGCTAGCCCGGAATATGCAGCATCACAGCAGACACAGGAGGGATCCTGCATCAGCAAATGGCAATGGAGACCTGCTCCAGAAAGTTGTCCTCTGACCACCACACAGGCTCCGCGGCAGAACCACATTTACTTACACACACACAAATAGCAAAAAAACCTCCAGCAAGAGAGGCTTCTCAGACCAAGACAGCAGCTCAAGTACCCTACCTCTACCTAACACATCCTTCCACATCTGTCTCTAAGTTGCGAGATGCAGCTCTGGCGTTCCTAGGCCATTCTCAGGACCATGCAGCAAGTCCTTTTTTGTTTTTGTTTTGTTTTGAGACAGGGTCTCTCTGTGCTGGAACTCACTCTGTAAATTAGGCCTTGAACTCACCGAGATCCTCCTGCCTCTGCCTCCCGAGTATTGGGATTAAAGGCGTGCACCACCACTGCCCAGATCTTTTGTTGTTGTTGTTGTTTTGTCTTGTTTTTCGAGACAGGGTTTCACTGTAGCTTTGAAGCCTGTCTTGGAACTAGCTCTTGTGGACTAGGCTGTCCTCGAACTCAAAAAGACCCACCTGCCTCTCTGCCCACGAGTACTGGGATTAAAGGTGTGCACCACCACCACCCGGCAACCCAGCTGTTTGACATCTTCTAAAATTGGTTTTTTTTTTTTTTGAGACAAAGTCTTATGTAGCCCAAGCTACATTACCTGGCCCCAGCCTTTAATTCATGACGTTCCAAGGGCTTGGTGTAAAAGGAGACATCTATAACTGTGTGTGTGTGTGTGTGTGTTTTGTCTGTATACCATAGACATAGTGCCCATGGAAAATGGAAAAGAACATTGGATCCCCTGGAACTGGATTTATAAACAATTATGAGCTGCTATTTGGATGCTAGGAATCAAGCCCAGGCTGTTTGGAAGAGCAACCTGTACTCTTAACCACTAAGCCATCTCTCCAGCCCTTTTCATTTGTTCATTTTTATTCTGTCTGTCTAACTCAGGCTTCCCTGGAACTCACTACATAGACCATACTGGCTCTCTTTGTCACTTTTATATTGCTGTGTGAAGAAACACACAAGCAAGGGAATTGTATAAAAGAAAGCATTTAATTGGTGTCTTGCTTACAGTTTCAGAGGGTTAGTCCGTTCTCAAGGAGGGGAATATGGCAGCAGGCAGGAAGGTTCTGAACGGTGGTTGAGAGCTCTATGTCCTTATTGTCATACCTCCTCCAGCAACCCTAGGGACACCTCCAACTAACTATCCACTCTAACAAGGTTAACACCCAACCCTCTTCTGACAGCATTAGACCAAGCATGCAGATATGTGAGCCTATGGAGGCCAAGTTCATTCAAAACTGGCATGAACTTTTTATCCTGCCTGTGCCTCTCAAATGCCTGGCTGCCTAAATGTCCTTTTATTTTGTGCATATTGTCTTAGAGTAGACTAGAGTAACAAATACAAATTCATAAGTGAAATATTATTAAGAATATTGTCCATAATCTTCAGGAAATTGTTTCTACAACTCAGTTACTGTCCCTACTGAGTGACAACTCAGGAAAGGAGAAGTTGACTGAGCAAAGTGAAAGACACAAAGGCGGATAATGAAAGTGTCATTAGGTTGTCACCAAATCTGTCTGTAGTAATTTTGTAAAACAAGCTTACAGGGCTGGAGAGATGGCTCAGAGGTTGAACACTGCCTGTTATTCCAGAGGTCCTGAGTTCAATTCCCAGCGACCACATGGTGGCTCACAGCTATCTATAATGAGATCTGGCGCCCTCTTCTGGTCTGTAGGCACATACAGACAGAACACTGTATACATAATAAATAAATCTTTAAAAAAAAAAAAAAAGACAGGTTTCCGAAGAAAGCTGAGCTGGGTTGATTTATTCCAGCCAACTATTACAGAACTTAGAACTGTTTTAAGTCTGCACTTCCATGAAATTGGCTGGGTCTCTGTAACCCCAGCAGATAGGAGCTACAAGATGAGGAGTCCAGGACTCTCTTTAGCTGTATTGCAAGCTCTAGCCAGACTGTGGAACCAGAGGCTTTTCCTTCAGAACAAAACAGAAAAATCTCTTTTGCTTCACAAACAGTTGTGAGGACAGAGAGCTTACTTAAGGGTAGTGATGGGTCTTTCTTTTTACTTTGTATCTTGCAAAGGAGTTTACAGTGATCAAGTACAGGTGGTCCTTGGTATTATAATCCATCAATTATTTTATTTTATTTTATTGTTTATTTAGAGACAAAGTTTCACTTGGCAGGTCTGGAACTCTCTCCATATTGGTCTGGAACTCGTGGAGGTTCACCTGCCTCTGCAGAGCTTGAGATCAAGGGTGTGTGCCACCACTCCCAAAACAAAACGTCACTGAACATTGAGACCTTGAGGAACGTAAGAGTAAAAAACTATCTACTTTAGGTGAGATATGCAGTTAGTTAAAAAGTAATACTAATTCAGTCAGGAATATAGTGTTACATTTTTCTCTACCTTTGCTGGTTGTCCTACATCTGTAAAATTCTCTCTAGCCTTTTTTCTATAGCAAACTGGCTTTCCTTCTGTTTTTCCTCTCTTGTTTGTTTAAACAGGGCTTCTCTGTGTAGCCCTGGCCATCCTAGAACTAGATCTGTAGACCAGACTGGCCTTGAACTCAGAGAACTGCCAGTGTTGGGATCACTGCACCCTGCCACATCAGTGTTCTTTTTTAGCAGGTTGTGCTGCTGTCAGGTCTGGAACTTAACACACAGAACAGGCTGACCTTGAACTCAGAGAAATGCACCTGCTTTTGCCTGCCACCATTCCAGACCCAACCATCAGTCTTTTCTCTTTTCCTTCCTGCCTGCCTGCCTGCCTTTCTTCTCCATCCATCTCTTTTGACTTTTGTTTTTAATGGCTCTTCTTTCTCCCATTGATAAGAGAGGGATTCCCAAGCCTAAAGTTACAGGAGCTGCCAAACAGAACACCTAACACTAGACAGGTGAGATTGATAGCATGTGTTCCTTAAGTGTGCCCACAGCTCACGGGAAGATGATGCTGCGGGCCAGGCACAGCTGCACTGGAGTTGCACTTAGGATTGGAGACAACAAGTAGGAGCTGTGGAGGCAACCATCCTAATAACAAGATGGCGGGGTGCCCTCTACCTCTGGTAATGCGTGTGATTGGCCAGTTTGAGCCCTGGAGCTTTATTCACACAAAGTAGGAGGGCAGCCTGTCCTTAGACCATTTACACTGTCCTGATCTTACCAAAATCAAGGTAGTACATAATCTGAGTCTTAATATCAGCTGTGATAAATTAGGGTTCCTCTCTACCCTCCCTAGGATCTCCCTGTCTAGCTCAGGCTGGCCTGAAAGTATGTAACCCAGCTTGGCCTCGAAGTCACAGTAATTCTGCTTCAGACTCACAAGAGCTGGGCTTATAGGCTTGAGCCACCATGACTGGCTTGGGAAATTTTTAAAGTTAATTTATTCTTTGTTTGGAAACTGTATCTCACTATGTAGTCCAGGCTGACCTAGAACTCAGTATATAACCTAGGTTAGCCTTGAACTTTGATCTGCCTGTCTCAGCTCCAAATGCTAGGTATACAGAAGAGGGCCACCACACACAATTTCAGGT